AACCCCCAGATGTATGCTTAATTTTTTGAAAATTTTTTAAAAAGTATTTCAAAGTTAAAAAGTTGTTGAAGTGAACAAAGAAAATAATTTTACATTTCAAAAGAGACCCAGAATCCCGGTAAATTACAAAAAGAGGTCAAAATATGCAAAAAAAACCGTAATGCCCTTTAGTAACCGGGAGAAAAAATTTATATTTAAACTGCAAAAAACAGTCCTAATTGAACAAAAACATGTAAAATTTTTATTTGAATTTTTTGAATCCTTTTTTCTTTTACATTTTGATCAAGTTTGATTTTCTTGAAAAATTCTGGAGGCATATTAACCTTGATGATATTGGTACTCGTATAAGGATGAAAAACAAGGTTGAAGCAAATCAATCTGTCTGTATATATAAGACCCTTCAAACTGAGATCATGAGATAATTTTAAAAAATTTCCTTCATACATTCTTATTTTTAACTGATTTGCAACCAAATAAAAAACATATCAACAATAAAAATTTTAATTCAATGTATACCTGTTTATTAAGCAGTTACATATTTATTAAATTAGTACAATGGACTGAATAATCGACTATACTGTCATTTGAATAGGTTATTTACAGGTAGATTTGTAAATAGTTCCCATAAAGCAGAAATCTAATTTAAAAGGGGACTTCCTTTTAAAGCAAGTTGATTTTAACCCTTTAATATGAAACTTACAAGCAATAAATGTCACTGGACTATTCATTCTAAAAATTCCTACATCTTAGATGCTGAAAGAATTCACTTCTGGTATCAAAGTTTAAAATTTTGTGAAATTTATCAATTACTGATATCATAAAAATTTACATTTTAAAATCGAACAGACCAGTTTTTAACATCAAATTGGTTACCCTTTTAAAACTAGGAAGTATAATTGAATTAACCCCGGAAAAGAAGGAAAACAATTGGGGTTTTTAAATTTTTAAAATTTCTTTATTCAAAAAATCAACCCTCAAAAATTGTTTTTTAAGAACCTTAAATTAAAAAATTGGGGAATAATTCAAGGTTAAAGTTACTTAAATTTTAGGGGTGGGGCAATTTAAATTTTGATCTCTTTATTTTTTTTTTCTATTTTCACAAGGGGGAAATAAGTCCCAAAAGATTTTTTTTTATTAAATTTTTTAAATTTTTGAAACTAACACTGTTTGGGCAACACGTTATTTATTTTATATGAATGAAACCCCACATTTTCTCAAATTTTAAATTTTTAGTTTTTAAAAAATTTTAAATTTTTGTATCCATCATAATATTTTCAGGGTTTTTAATCATGGCTGTCCCAGGTAAAAAGCCCACCAAACAATTTTCATCCCTTCAACAACCCTCTATTGGTTTTCTGGATGAAGGAATCTTCAAGTTTATTGTCAGGCCTGTGATCAAGGATGAATCTATGACTTCCGAGCATATGGTTATTGTACAAACTGCTCGGAGGCACTTGTTGCAAAACATGTTAAATACACTTCACAGAAAAACATTAAATTGTCCAGACATCATACTCCTACTAGACAAAACCAGCAATGCCTCAGACCCTGTAAACCTGTTTTACTCCAACACACGTCAGATAATTTTCTCAAAACCATGTCCTAAACACAAACATGGAGATTGATCAAGGTTTACTTGCAATAATCACAAGGGCTCTCCTCTGTAGTGTTTTTTGTGTTACACCGGATCATACAGCAACATCTTGTCAAGTTAATTATATACCTGACATTTCAGGCCAGGTCATCAACAGCACAGAATATCATGATATATTGAAGAACATTGATGAGATGACTGAGAAATCTAACAAAACTCTTCAAGACATGAAGAAAATGATTGATCAATCAAACAAGTCTTTGATAGATGCATTGACAGAACTAAAGATATTGCGATCAAAAGTCAACCAAAGGCTAGATGAAATGGAAAGACAAATCGAGGAGGCTGCAAAAGGCATTCAAAAAGACAATAACAAAAACTTGATGAAAGTAGAAACAGAATGTGGAGATGTTTTGAAATCTCTGAAGTCATCCTCTGATGCCATTAAACATTTCAACACATCGAAAAATGGAAATGATTTGTTCATAGAACTAAAACACATGGAACAGATAATAAAAGATTACAAGCAAAGTATTGCTAAGCTCACAGAATATAAAGTCAAAGAATACAATTTTCACCCAAATGAGGCAATATCAATTCTCCTTGATAAAGAGAGGTCAATAGGAACATTGAAAGAAAGAAAGTTAAATCCTAATTTAAGGTCCAGACAACGTTCACATATGGATAAAATATGTATCAAAACATCACAAGATAAGTCAGAATGCACAATTACAGGAATGACTGTCCTTTCTCCTGATCTTCTTATTATCACAGATAGTAATAACAGAGCTGTAAAAATGGTTGATATGAACACAAAGTCTGTACTGGCTCAACAATTATTTAATAGTGTACCTTGGGAAGTCACATCAGTGTCACAAAATGAACTTGCTGTCACTCTTCCTCTCAGTCAAACTATCCAGTTTTTATCTATTTCAAGCAATAACCTCAAGAAGAAACACACTGTGAAGGTTAATGGTAAATGTTATGGTATTGGCTGTCGTAAAGATAAAATGGTGGTGTCATACAAAGATCCAGCTAAATTTCAAATCCATCTTATCAATGGGACTGTTTTACAGACAATTCAAGATGACAATATTTTTAAAAAACCAATCTACATAACAACAAGTAACAATAATATCTACGTGTCTGATTATGGAATGAAAGCAATAACCAAGCTAAACTGGCAGTGTGAGGTGACAGGTAAATATGTCTGTAAAGATAGGCCTTTTGGCTTAACAATGTCAGAAGATAGCACAGTATTTGTTTGTTACTTTGACAACAAAACCATAGAAGAGATATCAGGGGACTGCACTAAAGGACAGGTTGTTGTAAAGGATGTGCCAGGTCCTCAAACTATCGCCTGGTCTGCTGAAACATGTACATTGTTCACAAGCATCTTACAATTCAGAGAACAAAACTTTATCAAAATCTTCAAATTGCATGAATAAGGACAGAAAATCTTCCTGCATAAATTATATTGAATAGTTAAGAATATCATTGACATTATTGTACATTGTAAAGTGATGAGCGTGAAGTTTTTTGTTCATACGTATAGACACTAATTATATAGTAGTTATTTGTATCATCTAAGACTAATAAAAATTACATCACAAAAATAATCTGGTTTATAAAATAAATGATGATTTACTGCAATCAGAAATTTTTTTTCTAATCACAATATTTTAAAGAGTAATACATTTCTTTAAAAAATAAGATATTTGATACTCAAATCATTGTATCATTGTATATTTTTCATTTAAAGGTGTAGATTGAATGTATGTCAGACTTGATATTGCTATTAAAAGATAAGATGAACAAGTGTTATATTTACTTCCACTGTAAACATGAAATCGTACTACTAAATGGGACTTACAAATGGTTAAAACTTATGCTTAAAAAAAAAACAACCAAAAAATTTAAAAAAAGTTTAAAAAAAACAAAATAAAGAAAAAAAGTATTAAAAAAGCAAGTTTTGGAAAGGTTTTTTTTAAACAAAACTGAAAGGAAAATTATTTAAAAATGTGATATTAAATGTATAAAATTTTTAAATGTTTGGACCAAATATTCTGTAAATATAAGGGCCCAAAGGGGAACTTAAGAAATTTTCTAGACTAAATTTTATTCCTTTAAATTATAAATCCCCCTTCTATTAGAAATGAAAATGACCTTTTCCCAAAATTAATCTACATCAGGCCACCTTTAAATTTTCCCTGGGTTTTTAAACCCAAAAATTGTTTTATTTCTTTTTATTAATTTTTAAAATTTTTGGGGAGATCAAGAGTGTTGCCTATGACTTGTGAATGTGTCCTGATAAACTCTAGTTTGATTTTCTTAAATGAAGAAGTCGGGATGCTCTGCATTGATAAGACAGGGAGTCATTGGGGACAACACTTTGCTCTTGAACACATATATATATTGGAGAACACAAGAAAACCTATAGGATCAAATGTCATTGGACAAAAGAAACCTGCATTTAGTCATCTAATGACACAGTCATTTAACATAAATACTGGATTAGACCATAAGTCATTGGACAATACTTATTATTACCTAATGCCTTCTATAAATGTTTATTCCTTATTTACAACTGTTTAGTTGAGCCGCTGAAATGCTGTGCATGCGCAGTTCTTAAATGAACTGTTGAAGCTGTTTCACCCCTGACATTGGGTATTTCTGTTAAAGCCGTCTGCCACTATTCGGTAATCGAACATTGCTCAGCTCAATGTACAGTGGTGGTATTTAGAAAATCAAACATCTGTAGGATTCAGTTGTAAACAGTTTACAGCTAAATGGTTGTAAAAATATTATGAGTATGTTGTTATTAGTATGTTGATGAAAGTTTACTATAGTTTGATTGCAAAGCATTAGGTAATAAAGCAGTTATTTCATGGGTGTAAACTTGTGGAACAGCCATAACTGTTGCCCATGACATTTGAAACTGTAGCCAGAGGCCGAAGGTGGAAATACCTGTGAAATAACTATATACTTTTGTACTTAAATTTTAGATCACAAAAAGAAATAAAACTTTACTCATTTTGCAACACTAAATGTTGAACCACACAAGTAAATTTAACTTTATCTCATTGATACACACCAACTCTTGAACCACACAAGGAAATATAACTTAAGAACATTGGCCAACACAAACTGTTGAACCAAACAAAAAAATGGAACTTTAGTAATTGGGCAACACTTTCAGTTGAACAACACAAGGAAATACAACTTCAGTTATTGGGAAACACTAACTGTTGAACAACAAAAGAAAATGAACCAATAAGGACTATGTAAATGATATATAAATACAAATATGGACAACATAAAAGATTGAAATATACAAGGTAGTATATATAGCAAAAGAATGCAAAGTATAGACCTCATATTCTAGCATGACATTACAATATCTCACCTCAAATTCATTTTCGGTAACATGACATTTGCAATGTTCACATTTATGTCCATCACCTGCGGCTGGCTGAACAAACCCTGCAGCACTGCAAGATATAGAGGATATTGAATGAGTGTAAGTTTAATACTGAATTTATTGAACGAGTTGAATAAATTATATTATGTGAGCCTTTGGCATCGTTTATTCAACGAGTTCAATAAATTTAGTAATGAACTTACACGAACTTAATATTCTTTTTATCACAGACTAAAAATAAGTGAAAAAGGAACATTTTTCATTGACGTGCCTATACTATAACGCTTACATTTAGCGCGTCTTAAGGCTTTGCTTGAATAACGCAAATGACATCATGTCAAAATATATGCACGGCCGTGCCATACCATTTTACAGAGTTGTAAACACAGCACGGGTACGTGATAAAACAATATTTGCTTCTGATAAAAACACTGATACTAATGAATTGGGTTATTAATTTAAACATTTGACTGAGAATCAGAATGCCGAGACTTCAATTATTTGAGTTTTTGGGGTGATTCTAATTGCATATTTACGCAAATAATTAGCTTATTTGGAGCTTTGTTATACTTACATTGCCTTTTTCCTTTCTTGTTTTAATTTCTTCACATCCTTTGACAACTTCTCATTTTCGGTCTCAATGCTTGAAATGTATGCCCTCTATAACACAAAATGTCATTTTATATATTTATTTATTTTTTTGTTCACAAAATTGAAAAAATAAAATAAATATGCATCTAATGTGGTATTTGAAATATTTATATAATAAATTTGTTCCTTACATAGTACATTTTTAGTGCTTAAAATAAATGAGTCTTCAGATGAGAAAATATACATACAGTGTTACATGTCATGCCATTCTAAGCACTTATGAATTTTCTTTTGTTATTCCTTAGTGAACATTTGTCAATATTGACAGAAAAAAATGATGTCATAAAAATTCATGTTGTTTATTTTTCTTGGTAAACTCCTAATGCATAATATATCTTGTCTAATCTTTTTCTATGCAAAGGATTTAAAACTTAAACATAAAATGAGTCAAATAAGCCAATGATTTATTGATGGATCTTACTGTACTGCTAAATGGCCTATTAGTTCCTCATGTCACACAATAATTAGTTAGGAAAGCACACACATGAATATAATGTAATATATGAATGATTTATTAAAATCAAATAGACAATTGCCAGATTTATTAACTGTTGCTAGATATGCTATTTTTGCCTCATATATAAATTTTTGCCGGATATATAAACTTTTGTATGACATATTGATGATTGCCTGAAGATATATTAACTATATACTGCCTAATATAATAACTATGCCTAATACATTAACTATGCCAGATATATTAACTATTCCCTGATATATTAGTATTGCCTGATATATTAAATATACATAATATATTAACTATGCCTGATATATTAACTATTTCCTGATATATAAAGAATTGCCCGATATATTAACTATACCTGATATATTAACTATGCCTGATATATTAAGAATTGCCTGATATTTTAACTATACCTGAAATATTAACTATGCCAGATATATTAAATATTCCCTGATATATTAAGTATTGCCCAATATATTAACTATACCTGATATATTAACTATGCCTGATATATCAAGAATTGCCTGATATTTTAACTATACCTGAAATATTAACTATGCCTGATATATTACGTAAGCCTGATATATTAACTATGCCTGATATATTAGGAAATGCCTGATATATTAACTATCCTTGTACATTAACTATGCCTGATATATTAACTATGCCTGATATATTGACTATTGCCTGATATATTGACTATTGCCTGATATATTAACAAAAATGTTCTTTACTCTTATATCAATCAAGTTTACCTTTTCTTCAAGTTCTATTTTGAGTTCTTTAAAATCTTCAACTGCCCTTGAATAATCCTGAAAGATTGATTTTAATTATAATCCATCAACAGTTAACCTCAGTATTACACAATGTGCAACATCAGCTGTAATTAATAATCCATTGAATAATTCTGTAGTTTCAAAGAATTGTACGTTAGAATTCACTTCTTATATATAAAATCACAGTATTCAAAGCTCTCTCAAATTAGAAAAATAAAAACTATGTAAACTATAAAACTAAAATATTACATTGAAAAAAAAAAGGATAAAAGCAAAGGATAAAGCAGACTCCCGTGCCACTTCATAAACTGCATTTTAAAATAGAATCTCTGTTTTTACTCAACATTTTGAAAACTAGAACTTATATTATATAATTTACAATATAACATTATTGTAGATTTATCTTTATGATAAAACTAAGAAACTGGAAACATGCATTATTTCACACCAAAACAAAGCCTTTGACTTTGGGATTTCCCTTATATAATTCACCATGTCAACAGCAAAGTTATAGTTTGTAGATTACAACGTTCAAAAAAAAAGTTCTTTATATTAAAGTATAATATCAAACTCTGCAGATTTATTCCAGGGTTCCCTTATATTATTGCATGTATAACCAAAATTCATGTAAACATATTCTGCAGATTGATTTTAGGGCCGCCTTATATTATTATATTAAGTAAGTATTAATTCAACTACTGTTGATATATTCCAGGAGCCCAATGTTACAAATCATAAAATACAAAATCAACCATTGCTGATATATTCTAGGGCCGCCTTATATTATTATATATAATCATGGCCCTTATATCATTTTATGTAATCATAATAATAATAATAGACTTCGATAGATTCGAGGGCCGGCTTAAATCATCATATGACAGTAAAAGCTCATACACTGCGAATAGATTCCAGGGCCTTCTTATACTCTCGAAGCTGCTTGGAAGTTGCCTTCGATTTTTGATCTTGTTCTGACATCTGTAAGTAAAAGAATATTGAAATGATTGCTACGATCATTTATGTTTTTCATGTTTCAATGGCATTCAAGTTTTACATCACTTATTGAATTTTAATCATTGACTCCTTTGCATTTTTAATCCTTACGATGTTATATTTGTTTAATATACTTTTCGGTCTATCAATCCGGACAAAACCATTCACTATTCTGAGCCAAAATTTCAAAAATATATACTAAATGAAAAGCGGACGGTTCAAACCATGATCAAATGACATGGGTAAAAAAATCTGGAAACAAAGTGATCCCTCGGAAGCATTAATCACAACAAAATTACAAGAAAATTGCAGACTCAGTTTGATTGAGTCTGTACATGAAGGATAATGAAAATGTGCAACATCCCTCACGCCCCCTAGCACCGGCTTGAGCGGTACTCAATTCTCAACACTTAATAGTGCTGGCATCAATGATCCCGAAGGACCAGAAAAATAAAACAACACTGAAGTGAAGTAAGGGGCAACTTTTTACAGCTGCCATACAGCATTTGACACCTGCTCTTGTGAAGTATAAAAATCTGGAAAGAAAGTGATCCCTCGGAAGCATTAAACACAACAAAATTACAAGAGAATTGCGGACCCGGTTTGATTGAGTCTGTACATGAAGGATAATGAAAATGTGCAACATCCCTCACGCCCCCTAGCACCGGCTTGAGCGGTACTCAATTCTCAACACTTAATAGTGCTGGCATCAATGATCCCGAAGGACCAGAAAAATATAGCAACAAGCCGGTGATCCTGGTCTTCACTAGTTGCATTAATAAAATCTCTTGATAACGGCAGACCAATGGTTAATGATAATCAGCGCATCATACATGTCATAAAAACATGACATGAAACTACACAGCTATGTAAAATTTTTAACATTGTGGGGCAACCAATTTTAAAGCTTTTTTGATATCTAAGTCTAGGTTCTTCCATTAAATTGTCATTTCATTAAGGTTTAATATATCTTACATTAAGTCACAAATTAAACATGTGGTGATGTGGTAATGTGTTTTTCAACATTTCTTCTGTGATATATTTCAATCATGAGTTTCAACAAAAGTAAAAAAAAAATTATTGCATACTACTATTTCAAGGTAAAAAATCCCTGACAAATTCATTTATATAGATAAAGTAATACAATACAGTTCTTATTCATTACATTGAAAAATGGGGCATTAAGTGATAAATCTTGAAGGTACACCAGTACCACATATCAACAAATTCTGTCAAGTTCATTGTAACCTATGACAGCTTTAAATATTGTGTGAACAAATAATCCATTAAAATTTAACCTGTAATGACAGCATTTTAGATACGGATTCAGCGACGGCCTTCCCCTGAGCAGAGTCTGCAGCAGCTTTTCCATCCTCAACCTTCTGAGCATGAAGTTGTCTAATCAACTGAAAGAAAACTTTAGATTATTTTCATCATATAACCACTGACCAAGTAGCCCTCAAATGAAATCAGCAATTGAACTAAATTTTGATAAATACTTTCTACATATATTATATATATGATAAAGTCATAAAAAATAAACAATCATTCCTAGAGCTCCAGATAAAGGCAATTCTTTCATAAATATAGCTTTTTTAGTATTTACAACTTTTTTTGTCAAAGTCCGGTCAACACATGTTGGTATGCCTTATAGATTGCTGGCACATATTGTTATGAATTATAGATTGCTGGAACATATTGTTTGCCTTAGAGATTGCTGGAAAATATTGTTATGCCTTATAGATTGCATGTGTTCAAACCAAGTCAGGGACAAGTTGTTGTTCCTTCACCAAGAACCATCACACTCTGCAAAATATTAGTTGGTTCAAGAAACCAATTCAAGTGTGTCTACAAGCTTATGTTGTCCTACACAATCAAACTAAAATAAATTCTGTATAAACAAAACATTGGTCATAATTGGAATAAAGAATTTTAGGCATTTCCCTACCTTTTGAGCTTCTTGCAAGTCTTTTTCATATTTGCTGTATCTGTTACGTAGTAACGTCAAGTCTTCCGAGAGATCACAATTCTCGTCTGTCAATCTTAAAATAATCTCTTTCTTATCTCGTACGGCAGCTGTCAAACTAGAAATGTTCAATATTATATGCATTAAAAGATTTTGGTGCTTATTTTCAGAGGGAAAAGCATTATCTTACAATTAAAACAAAAACAGTAGAAAAACTGTTTTATAGTCAAATTGCCCCTAAAATAAAGAAAAACAGAATTGCGAAAGAATGCCAAAAATAGCAAAACTGGACAAATGCTGCAAGCATGGTTTGATTAAGCCTGTTCAAGGACAATAGTTATAAATGCAAGGTTCTGTTGACACTTCTCAGGGCTGCCTTCTTTTTATATTGTCTGAGGTTACTGTAGATTTAGGTTCTTGTTGACCGCCATACTGTGACCTACTTTTGGCTCAAAATTCATATTATTGTCTAAATTCTACTCAGACTGATTCTCAACTATTGTACTGTAAAATAAAGACTATCTGCCATCTTTCTTCACCATTGTAAAGCTGGATAGTCTTAACACGACTAAGTGACTTAAGATCGTAAAGCAAACCACCTCACTTCATCCAACAACCTACCAATCCCCAAATAAGAAAATGTATATACCTTTTAATGGTCTTGGCTTGTTTATCTAGAGAATCAACCATTTCCTGCATTTTCTTTGAAATATGTTGCATTTCTGTTACAAAAACAAAACTGAATGATCATGTCATTTAATATGCTTGTTATTTAATATGCTTGTTATTTTATATGCTTATCAAAATGAGTTGACACACAATTTTCTGAACCTTCTAAAAGAGATAAAAAAAAATAAACACTGGTCAACCAAGTTAAACCATCTTTTGTAAGTGAACGATTTTAAAATAAATAAAATCTTTGAAATACACAGTCAGCGTATAAAATGATAAACTGGTAATTTTTAAACAAACTCATGTTACCATATGAACAAACATTCTTCGGCGAAAAAGAAATTAGTCCAAGTTGCATATACTCGTATATTATACATGGCGTGAAGTAAATTAAAAACATAATACAGCAAAAGAACAAACAAATTGTATATATTCAGAGACAGCATGAGCATAGTTCTATATTTAATATTGGTTGGCATGACAACAAATACCTCATTATTGTTATCATCATTTTCTGAACCTTCTAAGAGATAAAAATGATGAATTTTGGCTTTTTTAGATGTTTATCATGTAGTAAATACAAGAAAGTTTACCTTCAGCATTTTCAGTGCGTACATTTTTCAACATAGCGCAAATCTCATTTGCAGCATATTTCCATGGCGCATCATCAGCTACTTTTAACTTTGCTGTCTGCATACTCACTGTAATATACAAACATTCAAGTATCATACAAATAATTGTAATTTAAAGCTCAGCTTTGGGTATTTCCAACAAACTTTTACCGTTATAGCTTCACAGTGCACTACCCTTCACAAACAATTGTCAACCTGTAGTAGCGCTCATTTTTGAAGATGTAACTGTAAAATTATCCCCAAATTAGCTGGGAAAACCCAAAGATATGTTAAATTCTGGAGAAAGGCTATTTCGTTACCATATAGAGATTCATGTAATTATCCTATTGAAACAGCCTCTTGGTGAGTCTTCCATAATTTTTCTGCAGGATACATGTGTCCAGATATAGTCTTATATTGTATGTAACACTGTTAAATACTAATTTAATTCAATTGTTATATGGTTACCATATTATAGATAGATAGATTTATTTCGGCATAAAGGTAAACATGTTACATGATAAACAAACACAATATAGATTAAAACAATTACAAATAAATAAATAAATAAATAAATAAATAAATACTATATTATGTAAACCATGACATGTTCCCAAAACCAAGGATAACACAAAAAAGAGCAAGCTCTTATTTCCATTGTGGTCCTTAGCATTTGGTGGCATGACATAGAGAGGTATTTCATAAAAGAAAAAAAAAATATCACAAATTATAAGATAAATCACATTAATGAAGGATATCATTTAAAATCATCACAATTTAAGATGTAAGGTATTGTAAATAAAAAGTCATTATCACATTAAGAAATAAGTATGTGCATAGTAAGAAAGGATTACATTAAAAAAAAATATCACAGTTGTTATGAGTATGTAAGGAAAGAACATGCCATAGATTACACTATTCAAAAAAGATAAAGTTTTTAAAGTCTTAATAAAAATTTTTTAAACAAATATCAAAAAATGAAACAGTAAACCTGAGCCGAAAAATAATTCACTAAAATAATGAAAACATAAAATTTTCTTTCAAGAAATTTTAAGAAAGACACTTAGATGCTACTTAAAAAGTGACTTTTGATGGCTACCTTAAAACGATGAAATTTATTAATTTCAGTTATGCAGGTTGGAAGACTGTTCCATAGTTTAGCACCAATAAAACTGAAAGACTTTGACCCGGAACCTTTAACCTTAGGAAGACTATACCCTCCTTTTTTGCTCAGTCTGGTACAATAAGAATTATCAACTTTGTGTTTTATTATAGATAATTTTGTATAGGAGTTATTTTGTTTGTTATTTTGTTTGTTATTTTGTTTGTTCATTTGAAACCCTTTTCACCTTTTTTGGCCTTTGCCACTTTGGAGTTTTGTTTATACGGGACCTATAAATGAACCATACAAATATGAAAATAACGGGATTTTTATATGCATGCTTGAATATATTTGTACAGTCAAAATGCCTAAAAAATATGTTAGACGAGCTTGATACTAACACCCTTCACAATATTCCCCTCTCAAACAGATAGAAAATCATGTGCATTTAATTACACGATGTATATATGCACAGCATAAAAAGGAATGCTTACAAGTCATATGAAGTCAGATATGATGCCAGTCAGGAAAAGTACTTCTACGCTCCATGTAGTTCAACATATTGTTTTCAATTTTCTTTTTATTAGTATGTTAGAATAGAAGTAGATTTTTAATATTTCTTGCAATAAAGTATAATAAATAATTCACAATTTATGGCCGCTCAAATGTTTTTAATCTATTATCAAGGCATATCAGCCATCGTGATTATATCCCCGATCGAACATTATTCTACAATAATGCCCTCAAAATTGATACACGTATCAGTAACAATATTTCCTAAATAGAAAATTATGTTTTAAGGTATATTCTTCCGGTAGTATTTTTTTTATTACTTTTAGAGTAAAATTGAGCAGAATACATATGCTACCATCAAAATATTTAAAACATTTCAATCAAGTGTCTTAATACACATCTAAAAAAGGTAATGACTTTCAGATCATTTAACTTACTATCTTTCATGACTTTAAAATTGTCTACAACATTTTTTTCCAGTTCCAATTTCTTTCTGAAATGAAAAAAGAACTAGTCTCAAATACTGCAGGTTTCTAACATCATTGATAACAGGCCATTTTAAATCTCTACACGGCTAATGCAAGTGCGTTTTTTTTTCTTGAAAATCAAAGACTGTAATTGGCACAAACAGAGATATCTATGTCTCTGGCACAAACATTTAAATAGTTTTAACAGGTTATTTGGTTGAATATGAATAGATGATTGCTTTAATTAACCTCTGAGACATATATATGCAGGAACAGAAAGAAATTCACGTTTGCCACCAGTATAAAGCCAGGCTGGCCTGCACAATGATACTGTTTGTAACTCAACTTTTGTATTATGATACTGAAATCCCCCCATTACTTCAAAGAAGCGTCTCTGGACGCCTTTATCTATTACCACATGCAATCGTCCCTGAACACCTTTATCTAATACCTCATGCTAGCTCCTCTGGACGCCTTTAGATTTGATTGCAAAATTAAGATTTATAATTTCCAAAATGCGGACACTCAAATAAATACTTTAGTGTTCTCAATTGTGTGGCTTATCAGTATTGGAATGGTGCAGGAAAATCACGTCTTATCTATGGGAATACTGTGCAATAATAGACTTACTCCGGAATTAAGAATATTTTGGGTTTTCCCAGCTAATAATATAGGTACAAACAAACTTTAACAGTAACAGCTTCGAAAATAACCAAAACAGGTTGACTAATCTATTGTGACGGGTAGTGCACCGTGAAGCTAAAACGGTAATGTAAGTTTGCACCTACAGATTAGCTGGGAAAACCCCATTTTGCTGAGTTCCAGATAACGTCTATTAACATATCTCTATGAAGTAATGGGATTGGAAAGACTGTTCCAAATTCAAAGCGATTTAAGGGTTAAGGTGATATTGTTCAATTTTAAATACTACTCACTGTTGTAGTTGTTTAGTTGGACGACCTTCTTTGCCAGTTGATGTTATCTGATTCTGTAACTTCTTCAATTTTTCAAAGTTTGTCATGGTGCTAAAATAACTTTGTCTTTAAAATTGAAAAAAAAAGAAAAAAGACCAGATTAATATAATACTTTCATGCATCTTAGTTACATGGTAAACAGAAACAAGAAAATTACTGCTGAGTTGATAATAATCCTTCTTTGTTGGATACAATTCACTAATGATGAAGGCCACACTTCCATTATAAAAATAACAATAATTATAATATAATAATAATAAACAAAAAAAAAAGAATTTTCATGAACTTTTATCATGTGAGTCATTTCCTTGATGCAGTCACACCACTTGGCGTAATAAAGTTTAGCACATTGAGATTTGCATGTTTTTAATTTTCAAAGGGCCATAACTAAAATGTTTACACTTATTTATATTATTCTTTTTCAAAATTCAAACACAACTTTTGTAAGCTGTAGGCAGCTGAGATATAACTTAAAACACATTAACTTTATGCTGAATTACATAACAATATAATTAACTACTGTTAAAGGCCCATTATGCATGAAAATGCTTGTATTTTTATATTCTTAAAAGCTTCTTTATTTTTAGTGCCATTTTTATAGTTTCCATAAATATACTTGTTGGTCAATTACCTGAACAGTTTGTTGCTTCTGTTGCCTTTTGACAATTAGTAGAGTTATAGTGATTTAGTACATGTATTTTGTTTGGAAGTCAAAATACTACTTTGTTTACATTTTTCTCCTTTTATAACAAATAATTTCACATTCATTATTACTTTCATCAGGTGATGACTCAGCATTTTACATGCTCTAAAACCATCCGTTAAATGTTACAAAACTCATTTAAGTATATCCTAAGAAGAAAAAAATCATTTGTTTAAGAAGTATAATGAGCCTTTAGAATATGGCTCAATAAAATGGTATTTTTCCTTAAAAAATTAAAAGTTTGATAAAACTTGGTGAACCCCTTTTCTTTACGATAACATGTACTCGCTAATTGTTATATTTATTTATCCATGCATTGTTTCAACTTTCAAACAATCTTGAACAATGAATGCAATATATATACATGAACATCAAAATAATGCAGTTCAGGATTCCGCTTTTTTAATATAATTTCTTTTATGAAACTTTTTGAGTTTATAAAGTAAATAAAATACATTTAAAACAATTTTGGTGCGGCCTAAACCCTGATATATTCTAATTAAAGCTTTGTAATTCAACCAATGTTATGGTCAGAATTATAGAATCTAGCAACAGACTGTTTTTTTTATCTTCCAATCTATAAAACCTACTTCATAAATTCCTCTTCTGAGTCATCCACTGCGGATTTGATATCATCCTGAAAATTATCACAATGAAATATAAGTTTGATATATTATCACAAGTTTCAGGAATTATATACATTCAAGTACTAGATATAGAAAAAAGTCTATAAATTATAATTATATCAATACATAAAATAGAATACAATTTACTTTATTACAAATGAATTATTACAATGTTCAATGTTTATAGCAAAGCAAAATTATGTTAAAAAAATAAAAATTGAGATCAGACATGGATTACTAGTATGTAACAACACATTTCCTGAAAGGTCTTAATATGGTAATAGGCAAATAGCTGCTTGCACAAAGTATTAAATAGCTCAATGTACTATACATGGTATTGAAGTAAACTACAGCTCCCTGTTTCCTGATAAAGTTATGTATGAATGTATTATATGCTTAATAAGGGAGTCCATCAGCCCTTTCAGGCACTGAGAGTCGTATGGACCCCAGGCATGTCAACATTCATGTCCTTATAAAGTTCCAAAGTATTATTCTTCTTCATAATTATAAAATGAACATTTCTGTATAATAATTCTGATTGGTCACAACATTATACTAAGATTTTCTGTGAAACTAATTTTCATTGGTGCTTGAAATTGTTTTGTAAAATACTATCTGGTTAGATCATGCAAGAAAATTTGTAGAATTTATTTTAATTGGAATATGACATCCATTGACACTTACAAGATCAACATGGTCTGTGGTGAACCACTGAAAATAAAAAAAAAGTAATAAAAATCCTCATTTAAATACTGATAAAAAACAATAGAAATGTATCATTTGGATATTCTTATAAAATATTGTATTGTTTGAAGAAAATAAAACCTTTCATGGTTTGTCGTGTGTGATACTTAAAATACTATCAACATAATTATCTATACATGTAATGTATTACAGACATTCCGTTATATACTAATGGCCAAGTGGTTAACATGTTGGACCAGTAATATTATGATGTCTAGTCGCATGGGTTCAAACCCCGTCAGAGGCAAGTCGTTGTTTCTTTGAGCAAGAAACTTTTCTCTCATCACTCAATACTGTTTGGTTCCAGGAATATTCGAAAGTGTGTCTATAAGCTTATAGCTTCCTACATAATCGAACTAAAATAAATTCTGTATAAACCAAACTAATTCACGTAAAAAGAAAATGATGTGTGTTAAAGTTGTTTTCTTTAATTGTATATCAATAACTATACTTTTGTCTGAGTTGTACATTATATTGATGTTATAGAAGATATTGAACAATTCTGAATTTATTGCACGAGTTGAATAAAATTGTATTATGCAAGCCTTTGACGAGCATAATATTATTTTATTCAACGAGTTCAATAAATTCAGTAATGAACGTACACGAATTTTATATTCTATTTATCACATACCAAAAATAAAGACCGTTTAAAGTGAAAAAGAGTCATTTTTCATTGCCGCGCCTATAGTACAACGCTAACATTTAGTGCGTCTTTACACTGTTTGTAGATTTATTCCCTGCGGTCTGGAGACCGCAGGGTATGGGTACGCGTTTAACTTTTGAGGCATGGAGGAGCACGTGACCTGTTTTCGGTACATGGAGGAGCATGTGATCTGTAAACCGTACATGATTGGTTAAATGACCTTTTCGAAAACCTAGCCAAATACCGTTTGCCGGTACGTTACGGATTTACCGGTAGGGAATTAGTCCGAACTACCTAATTAAGAACAAAAAAAAACTATTACGTGATATTTATAATTTTCTATAATTATTTTACCGTTTAAGGTGATGTGTTTGAAAATTATCATTGTTTCTTTAATATCTATCTCAAATTTTACAAACAATAAATTGTTTATACTGACAATCTACAAAATTACAATATTCGTAGTGGCATCTGCCATAATAAATAGAGATATTTTCTGCGTAAACTTGTGTGTTTACTTTATTTATTTTTTTGCTCGGAATTATTCATAAAATGGTAGGCCTATTTAATCATTTTCTTAAAAAAAAATAATTGTTTTATGTTCAACCTTCTCCGTCTTCAACTGTCACCAGTTTCCAAAGACCTTCTTCTATATTGATCGTTTATTCAATTGTCAACTATATTCCTGATACAAACGTTTATTTACCCCCCATCCCCAAATAATTTTGAAAATAGTTAAATGAAATATCTTTACATCATTAAAATATTCACCGCAGGAAACCATTTTACTTGTAACACTAATGTCACGTCAAAATATATGCACGGCTGTGCAAATACCATATTTACGGTGTCGCAAAATCGGTATGGGTGTGTGATAAACATGTATATGCATTTCTTATACATTTTTAATTAAATAATAATAAAATATTCATGAATTTCATCAAGCTATAAGCAAACTAATTCTAAATAAATTCAAGTCATTTACACACCAAAACTTTGACATTGCAGAAAGAATTTTCAAAGTCATATGTATATATTTTTTTCATTCACTTATTAGAAAATCAGACATTACCGTAATGATAGATAAAGTTCTTGTGGCTGAATGAGCAGCAAAGTTTTAACATTAATTATTTCAACTAAGTCACTAAATTTAGAACTAATTTTTTTCAACTTTAATTCTAATATTTAGGTTTAGATATTGAAAATTCTTTTAAACAAAAACATATGGCAACAAAGTTTGTCTTTTCTATATACATGTACTTACATCTGCTAACTGCATTAACATCTGAAAGAAAAAGAGGGAAAATAAAAATGATGTCTATAAACAAGTTCACCATCCTACTTATATCAAGTAACAGTCTTTTCACATACCTGATATTATCTTTGAATTTCTAAAAATCTTGTGTCTCAAAAAATAGTAATTTAATAATGCTTATATACAACACTTCATTATCTACAGTTTAAAGAAAAATATATAACCGTACACATGATAATTGTGGCTTATACTAATTAAATGTTATGGCCCCAGCTTTACTACTAAAAGATATAACCTTAGTTTTCTCCCTTTGTATTAGTTCAGGCATGAGCTAGCAAATGGGTGGGTTCATTGATTTGAAAAGGTATAATTATCTTTTCCTCACAAGAACAAGATTTGGATGAAGGTAAAAGGGTCACTGGATGTAACCACTTAGGAACAGAGGCCCTTATGCAGAATAATGGGAACATCATAAGTAAAATCTACGGGGTCACTAGTCTGATTCTTTGGCCAGATGAAATTTCTCTGTGAAAACTGATCCTGGACTTTGAGTCCAATTGTTATTTGTCCAGAAATCATGTGGGATGAGTATTAGGTCACGTGTGGAGAAATTAGTAATTACTGGTTAGTTATCTCAGGTCATTAGGTGGACCACAGGAGCTTGATATTCTATCAATAATTTAAAAATATAAGCAAATAATTAAGAAATAACGGCAAATATACACATCTAAGAAACAACGGCAAACATAACCATCTATACTATAACTAATTATTTATAGTATAGATGCGTATATTTGCCGTTATTTCCTAATTATTTGCTTATATTTTTAAATTATTGATAGAATGTCAAGCTCCTGTGGATGGACCAATAGCTAATATACCGGTATTATGACCAAAAATGTGTTAATATTGGCATAAAAAATTGACAAATAGCATGAAGTATATGGAATGCCGGTAGGGACATGCCAATTTGCTTATTTGCAAATTTTTTCAACTTAGCAATTAGCAAATAAGCAAATTGACATGTCCCTACCGGCATTCTTTAACAATAGACATACATATGTAATATAAATGAAATACTAACATCATCTCTGTCCTGGTTGGCAGCCGTCACCTGGCATGACATATCCTCATACTGGTCTATAAATGTTGCAAGGTTAGAACGCATCTGTCCATAAAAAAATCCCAATTAACAGTTATATCAAACAAGTAATTTGTCCAACTTACAAATACTATATTTTTAATTGTGTTTAGATTTTTATGTAAAACGATATGCAAAGATCTCAAGAGTGGAAATTTTAACAATTATACAACCGCAAAGCTCGTACAGCCATTAAATGTACTTAGTTACAAACCTTAATGTTTAAACCTTAATCTTATGCTGCACACGACCTTGACCTTAAACCCAAAAGTAACCTTCGAAGGTAGAGGTAGATACCTACCGTCCTGACTGTATGAGCTATTTTTTAATTATACAAAAGTAGAACATTCAGTTTTGGTCTGTGACGTTAGGTATTTGCATGAAAAACCAACAAAAAAAAAACAAACAAAAAAACAACAATAGTATTAAGTGCAAAAGGACAGACGGAAGGCAACAACTTGTTACTCTGATAAAACAATACAGTAAGGCAAATTAGTCAACACATTACATCTTTGTCATCAACTTTTCCAATTTGTTTTCGCATCATGGAAACCACTGGATCTTCGTGCTCGAAATCTTTAAACTCGTCGAAGGAATGCAAAGTCTGAAATTGTAAAATAAATACTGTACGTATGATTATCTTATGGTAAACATATCATTACATGGTACAGTGAATTCGCGATCCGAAGACCCGTACATATCATATGAGATGATATTATACGGATAAACAATAGAAAAATAAATTGCAAATTTTGTCTTTATTTATGAATCGTGTTATCTTTTTCTTTTCTATTTTTAGTTTTCAACATAATTTAGCCGCGACATGACAAAAGCAACATAGTGCGTTTGCGACCAGCATGGATCCAGACAATATCATATAGTTTACCTTGTGTAATTTTTCTGTGATGTCGCCCAACTGTTCTTTGATACGATCAGATTCTGTCGTCTGTGGCTCGTATATAGGACCGACAAGAAGATTAGGATCTATGCCCAAACCATGCCTTGTGCGTTCAACCTCAGGTGCTATCACTGATCCTTTGAATTTTAAACTTCCATTTTCATGTTCTGAAGTTTTTTCAGTTACCGATGGCAATTTCCCGCGTTTCCGGTTATCTGAAGTATCTACAGATTCGCGGCGCCTCAAGCGATCCATATTTTAGCAGACGACTTGGTTAGACTGCTCAAATCTGCTCAAATGGCAGACCTGGCAACGGCAGTCCAAACAAATCAAATCCTTGTGAATGAGACAAACAATATAGTTTCTGTTATTATGTTTTTCCGAATAGGTGAAAAAAATAAAGTTGCAGAGCGTATTGCTTTAGAAACGACGTTACGTCGTGATGACGTAATCAACAACGTAACTGTTGTTTATAGAGTTTTATTTTCAGGGGCCACAACTTTGTAATACACAATCGAATGAGCCCTTAGACTATGTACAGAAGAAACATCGATAACTATATAATGTAACAACATACTAATCACTGGATACATGGGATAATATATAACCCCTAGATACACTGGGAAATATATAAACCCTAGATACACTGGGAAATATATAACCCATAGATACATTTAGCAATATTTAACCCCTGGATACATTATATAATATAATCCATGGTTACACCTATGTGCAACAGTTAAATGTTTCTGTAAAAAAAATAATAACTAAAGTTGGAAAGTCGTGCCGATTTTTCGACTCCGTAAAAATGGTATTGCACGGCCGTGCATATATTTTGACGTGACGTCATTAGCGTTATACAATCATGGTGTAAAGACGCGCTAAATGTTTGCGTTATAAAATAGGTGTGTCAATAAAAATTACTCTCTTCACTTAAAACGGTATTTATTTTGGGTATGTGATAAATAGAGTATTAAATTCGTGTAAATTCATTACTGAATTTATTGAAATACTATTATGCTCGCCAGAGGCTCGCATAATATAATTTTATTCAATTAAACTCGTGCAATAAATTCAGTATTGAACTAACACTCATTCAATATCCTCTATTTCCATGCTGTGATATCTTGTTTATTTATTAAGATTGCATACTGTATGTAAGTTTCATTCTTGTCTCGTCTCCTTGATTAATTAAAATGTAATACAAAGTTCTTTTGCCTTGCTAGGGCATGTCATTATACATCCTGGGCCAATGTGGAAACATATAAATTCACCTTCACTTTTTTTGTATCATCCTGGATATATGAATAAATGTCCTGGGACTTTTTTTCATTCTATTACTATCTTGAAGTTATTTTATATCTTTATAATTAATCAAAATTATTTTCATTTTACTGTGATTGACTTTGTCTTTTTGTTACTAGTCTTTTTTAAAGTCATAATTATAATAATTATATACGTTTTTATTATGCTTTTTGTTGTTGTTTCACTCATGACAACAATTATATGGTACTGTTTCTTGTTTTATACCATGAAATGCTATGCATTTATTTTCTGAAATAAACTGTACTATATAACCCATGCATACATTGTATAATATATAACCTCTAGATTCACAGGACAATATATAACCCATGGATATATTGTATAATATACATGATTTTGTTTGTTTGTTTCCTTTTACGCCTTTTTCCAACAGTATTTCAGTCATATTGGTGGGTAGTTTCCTGACCATCGTTCCTGGAGAGTTACACTAGTACTAGACTACCTTCCTCCGCGCTAAACTACCAAAGCATCTCCCGGGGAACGAACCCACGCCAGAGAGGTAACTGGATTAGAAGTCATCGACTCTAACCCCTCGACCACGGAGGCGGTACCAATACACATGAAAACAGAATATACTCAACAGAATATACTCAACAAATAAACTATTCAGTTTTGTAGATCTTTTTTTATTTTAACATATTGAATTAACATTTATCTTTTCATTATTTATACATCATTTATAATGTTGAATGATAATGGATACAAATAATAATATGGATATTTTGAACAATGATTCATCATCAAAAATAAATGCACGAGTAGTACTAAGTACATATCATTTCAGCTATTCACAATTTCAAATCTTTATCAACCTCTTTTTGTTTAGATAAAAAAAGAAATAAACATAGTTTAGTTTCGAAAGACATTTAAGACGTTCTTAATAGAAGAAAAATCTCACAATAAATAATGAACAGTGAATTATATAGAAAATATTTCACTGACGAAAAAATCAAATTCAACATTTCTATGAATAAAACAATGTTTTTAAGTTTTGTTAAAAAAAAAGACAAGCTCTATTATACATCACAAATGTTAGCACCAGGGCCCATATTGATCTATATCTAGGGAGTAATTTCAAATTGACCATTTTTCTTTGTTTGATGATTTTGAATTCATTTATATTGATTTTGGTGAACATTTACTAGTTGTCTAAAGCCTTTTATTTCTCTCTGTAAATTTTCATAACAAGCTTTTGCATTTTTGACAGATACAGAATAAAAAGAAGAAACAGCTTTTTCAAAATTTAAGTTGTAATTTTAGAATTTAAATTTTAATTTAAAAAGGTTCCTGAAAGTTTCTTAACCATTTTAAAAAATAAAATACACTGTCTCAACAAGTCTTAATAAATATTACTTGAAACTAGTAGCAAATAAAATCATATAACTCAACCTGGTGTTGTACCTCTGTTCCTTACCTGTTTAAATCATTGTTTTATAAGTCTTAATAATTTCAATATGAAAAATAAAAAGACAAAAAAAAAAGACATTTATATCTCAACCGTAGGATGCATATATACTGGTACAATGTATATTTAATATCTTGCTCACTAAAGAAAAAACTTAAAACACATTTATGACTTTAAAATCAGAACCCTCCAACCAGCAGAGAAGTTTCAAAGATTCACTAAATGAGTTTCCCCCTTTTAATTTGAGTTGTCAAATTAAAGGCAGAATAGAACATAAAGCTGTAATAATCTCAATTACAGAAATCTAAAGAAAAATTATGTTTTTTTCCCAGAAAATAGATTTTGAGTGTGTTATTTAGGTAATAGATATCAATTTTGAGAGCATTGTTGTATAATAATGCATGGTTCGAGTTCAAATGTGCAGGAACATAATCACGAAGGAAAATAGGCCCTATATAATAAATTACAGAGAATTAAAATTAACCAGTGAGTGATATAACTGATATCTCACCAAATTACTCTTGCTAGTTTACACAGTCATTATCTCAAGATCTTAAGGCAGAAAAAACAATCTATTTCCCAAAATAAGACAAATAAGGCAAAAATCTTTATTTAACTCTACAAATACATAGTACAGTTAAACCCCAGTATAAAAAATCAGTCCATGAAAAAAAAGAGAATATATGTGGTCTTATGTCAGAGGTGGTTTTTAATGAATGGTTGACTGTACATTGTATGTGACTTTGTTTTAGAGGTGGTCTGGTTGTGTATGTGTGGTTTTGTTTCAGGGTTGGTCTTCCGAGACAGGTTACAAAGATATGGTACTTTTACAAAGGTTGTGATTACTAAGGGACTGGTTTTAGCTTTATACAATGACAACTTCAAGGCACTATGTAAAAAGACACATAATAATAACAATATTTATAATCATATTACACCTTATGTCACTCTTAACATAAAAATATATTAACAAACATCAAAAAATACATCAACAAATATTAAAGACATTTCCTTGTTTCTTCATTTTTAACATACACAAAAAAGGAATAAGAACCGTGTGTGCAGTATTAACACTTGTCTGTTAAGGGCAAAAACTATTAATAACCAATTTTTATAAATATTCTAAGTTTAAAAGGAAAATAACTCCAAAATTAAAGCTTTTAGAATTATTCCCCTTGTCTAACAATTGTACCCTGTCATGATTAACAAGTATTCCAAATTTCATGTTGATACCTTTCATAGTTTTAACATCATTCTATTTGTTAAGAATTTTTTTTAAAAATTCTAAGTTAAACAGGGTCATAACTCCAAACAGCAGATAGAGAGCATCTTTGATATACATATAAGAACTGACATTAGATGGCATTTGATATAAACTTTTATATGACACAAGTTTTTCCAAGATTTAGACACAAGTTTTTCCAAGATTTATGACATTTTTTTTGGAGGAGTTTCAAAATAGTTTATATCAAATAACAACAAATTTCAGATTCTTCTTATCAACACATGACTAAATTTAACCAAAACAAATTACTTTATCACATTTATAAACAGATGCTTAACATATAACAAAAGCGCCATTATATTACATTGTGTAATGGAATTTATGATGGTAATATTACATGTAGATAGAAAAGAACTGAAGTGATGTGATAAAAACTTGAAATAAAACATCTATGCAGGCTATGTAATGGAAGTGATTTGATAATGGTCCCAAGTTCATCAAAAATCATAAAATACTAAAAATAGCATAAAAATTAGAGCTTCTTTTTCTATCTCTCTTATTTTTATTTTAAGATGTATTGAAGCCGTAATAACTAAGCTATAAAATTTTAAAACAGGTAAAACCTTATTTCCTTATTCAATAGTTGAACCCTTGTTTACCAATCTCAAGTATATTTTCCCAGCTTTGTAAAATCCATACAATTACTCCTCAAAACTAAGCAAGAGTGTTGTCCTGCTATGAATCCCTAACTTTTCACCGTTAACTGAATGGATTTCAATTTTAAAATGCTGAATTTAAGCAGGCAAGAATCTAGTATTACATCAACTGTCATAGAGAGCATGCTGGCTTGTTTCTGTGCCAGTAGCAGTGGTAAAGCAGACGGTAAAAGTGGCCTACTGTAATGGTGACCTTCATCAACCATCACAATCCAATCATATGGCACTAATCTCTATAACAAGATCCAGGAATGATTTTGTCAGATGTTTACTTCATTTCAACAAAGTTAAGGTAAAAATATTAACACTAAATTATTATTGCTTTTGTGTAGTCAAGGAAATTAAGAACACTTTTATTGGTATTAAAACTATCATTTTTAAGTACTATCATATATGTGGAATTCTGTTTCCATGCTTGGCTTTAGCATCAGGTTTAGGTAAATTTCTGAGATTATCTAACGCGTGTAGAAGTTTGTGTGCAGCCTTTATACGTCCCTGAGATTGGTGAGGTCGCGTACATTCATTCAGGAGATTATCCAAATCCCAGTCATCCTGAAATATAGCATGAAAATACTGAAATTACCTCTACAGAATAAAGCAAGTTTGCAGACATTTTCAAGCTTGACTTCAAAATCAGAAGTTGCAAGTAAAATTAATCTTTCACTCATCAAATTGCTCAGAGCATTCTGTATGAAGATTTTTAGATGAGGTCTAGTGTAAAAGGTTCACAGCTGATACAAACATTCTATGTCATACAACAAGCACAGACTGACTGAATGATTGTATTGAACAGTATATTTTAATATCACTGCCCATCCGAGGGGGGAGGGGGGGGGGGAAAGATGACTGCTGACTTAATAGCAATCAAGTTGATGGTCAAAACGAAGGGGTGGGGTGGTAAACTACCCTTTAAAATGTAGCTCCTGAAATGCAGCTCCTGGCAGGCTCGTGGTCTTATCCAAATTGGTAACCATCTTCGTAGCTCACTGCAGGTTTGTGTCTAATTAAATCGTAATCTAGTAGCTTATTGAAATTGGTGATATATTTGAAATGGGATGGTAGGCTATTTTACTAGCATATGGCAGGTGACCTGTTGGTGCTCTAATCAAAAGAGTTTACTATCTACTAGTAGCTAGCACATTGCATGATGGTGGTCTAATAAATTGTACAGTTATCTATATACTGCTTTACAGGGATGTCAGATAACCACTATTCTTATACTAATCAAGTTTAAAATTTAAATATCTCTTTATTTATCCTATGGGAGTGTAAAACATGAGCAATCATATAATACTTGTCCCTACAAAGACTTCACAATATGTTTTTAAGAATTATAGGTACTCACACTTGCATGTGGTGGCATATCATGTAACAAATGTGGGATCCCTCCATTCACTCTATCATCAGCATATCTTGACAACATATTTCTACACACAGCATAGTAATTATGATCTGTCATATAGTGTTTACACATTAGGCTGACGTCAAACGAGAGACAGTCGGTTATACCTTCCTCACATTCAACAAATACGGCTTCCGACAGCTCATCCCAGTGTTCCTTGTTTGCTGTATGAAACACAAGAGTATCATCATTAAAATGAATAGTACATATAATTGTTTAAATACATTATCAAGAATTATATATAAAATTTTCATTGCATCATCAATTGCATAATCACAGAGGTGGTCAATTCTTGCCTGTTTAATTTACTTGTGAAGTAAGATCTTATGCATCCCTCTGCATGAAATTAGGAATAAATTGGGGAATAAATCAACAGCCAATTTACATCATTTCTCTATAAAATTAAAGGAATTTCTTGTGATTCGGAAAGGACTTAATTACTAGACTCATCTATAAAATATATTGACAAAAAAAAATCTACTCAATCTTAAAATCTCAAGTAAAAACAAAAATATTGCCGGCCAAATAAACTGTACCTATTTTTGTAGCCTGTTTATCAGCAACTACAATATTTTCAGCGTCAATGTATGTCAACTTGCCGGCAGGATCCACAGCAAAATTTTCCGCTGAAAGATCTGTCCAATACAGGTTCCATTCAGGATCCGACGTCAACCTGTCGGCCATCTTTATCATTTGATAGGCCAAATCTGCCTGTGTGGTAATAATAATGCAGATTTTCATAAACAGGCCAAATCTGCATGTGTGGTAATGATAATGCATATTTTAATAAACATTAAATAGGCTTACAAAATTATTCAATTATTTCATTAACCAATGTACATGTATTTAGTAAATATAAACAACAAACAAACAATAAAGGCAAGAAGTCAGAGAAAACTATTGTTTAGTAATTGCAGGTGTTATTTCATGATAACTGTTATGTTACTTTAGCATTCAAAACCCTTTACATGTACCTATTCAAATCATGTACATTTTTACATAACCCTTGGCTTGAGCAAGGGTTAACTACAAATGTATATTAAAACAGCCACCTTTGATATGACAACTTCTTTCATTTCTCAAACAAAAAAATTTATTCCCTGGATACATTCCTTGTATATTTACCATTATTACATATATAAAAGGCAGTCCTTTCAGCATCTCAATACAATCTGAATGTTTATGAACCAGTCAACTATTAGGCATCATTTGACTCCGCCCTCAATCAAGATTAACACATCAGAAGCTTATTTACATACTGAAGGTCAATTACTTTAAAATGCTCTGTAATGCTTAATATTGTCAACATATAATTTTTACAAAGCAGCAAATAATCCACCAAAATTTACAGAAAAATTTACAGTAAAACCTTTGGTTAGCAACAAACTTCAGACAACAAAGAAATTGATTGTTGCCGAGGAGTGCTGCACTGAGGAGGTAAAACTTGTTGTAAATGTTACTTTGGGAAAAAATGATACTGAAGTTGTAAAGAATTAATCCCTGTGCAAATGCTGCACTATTGTTTGTTAAATATGAAACACAAACCCTTTTCTCAAAAGGCGCATCATAAAAATCTGCTAAAGGTTTCCCGCTGTATTCTTCAACAATATATCGCCCACAGGCTCCATAATATTCTGGAAATGGCCAACCTTCTGATGCTGGAAATGTCTAGAAAAAAATATTTTGTAAACATAAAAAATATTAAAGTTTATCACAATGGACAAACAGATTAACTGCATGCTTCAGCATTGACTATTCTTAGCACTTGATTGTCAAACAAGAGCCAGGATAATGCAAGAACTATCTAAGGTCAAAAAGTACAATAATTGACCCTGAAGTGTGTGAAGTTTCCAGTGCATGCTCTCAGTGGTTTGAAATATAGAATTTGCATGCATGAGTGATCTACCAAAATGATCCAAAAGACATACTTGTGTAAAAGGTAGAAGTGGTCTGGTAGTTCAGATGTCTGCCTCTTTATCCTAGGATTATTGGTTTGAGCCCATTTTGGGGTCATTTTCATAATTATACGACACCAGTACTGGTTAGTTCCCGGAAGCAGACTAGACTGTGGTTCGAATAAACTAGAATCTTTCTTTACAATCAAATCTAAATTGATCTATATTTTAATGTATGATTTACAATTTTTGGTTGTCGAGTGTTAACTTTAAACCACATGCCCCTCACTGCTGTGGATCTGAATCCCGACAGGGTTTTTGGATTCTTTCATGAGAGAAAGCTATCCAGCTAGGTTACGAATGTCGGTGGCTCTATGCAGGTGCACATTTGTGCCTGAAATATTGCACAGGTGGGCATCAGGGGTCTTCCTCCACCAGTAAAGCTGAAAAGTTACAATATGACCTATACTGTGATGGTGTGATGTAAAATCCAACAACAAAATTGTAAAATTAAAAAAAAAGTACATAATTTAATTTTAAAGGTATTAAGCCACAGTTAAATAATGTCTGTTACATCTTGACAATCAAAAGTTATGTCACCTATGTTCCATAGAATGGCCTTAAAGTAAAGACTACAAGTACATGTTCTCTTTTACATGCCAACTCTTTCCAGCTGCACCAATAGAAAAAATAAAAAATATTTACCGACAACATTAGAGGTTCAGGGTTGACCTGTGCTGTGTACAGTATCTGTAGTTTATCATCCAAGGGCATGTGATCTCCTTTACTTCCTACAACTGGATATCTGTCCATTACTCTGTCTACTAATTTATGTGTTACACAAAAAAACATGAATGACGAATCTTTTAAATGTTCAGGCAAAAAGCCACTAGCGTGAATATCTTTAGCCGTCTTTGAGACTGCCATTCTTTTACCAAGATCACATCCTGACTCTCTGAAAGAGTCTTTGCACAACCTATCATCAATTATTTTAATTTCATCGTCATGCCCAAGTTTTTTCAGCACTATCTGATGACCCTGATACTTGTGTTTTGCATAATGCACATTCTTTACATTTATTCTATCAAAAACTTTATATTTAGATATCCCTGACAGATCAAACTGATTGTCAAATAAGTTAAAACAGAAATTCTGTCCGTAACAGGCTGGGCATTTATGAACTTCTAAAAAGTCCTCTGAAGTAAGTCTATTTTGACCCCAGGCTAAATAAATACTCCCATACAGATATACACAAATTATGAGTAATACAAAAACAAAGCACTTTGCTTGAATTGGAATGCGTCGTAATTTGAATGTAGATTTCCCGATTTTTGAGATCATTTCTGCTGGTCCCTCATTACTATATGAACCGCCCTCTGTATAAATGAGCTTCCGGTTACGTGTAGCAAATGGTAACATTCTGCTAACTCTTTCCTGCTGTGCTCTGCACCACAAACATAGCAGTCTTTTAAAACCTGAAACAAGGCATATTTAGTTTCAAAATGAAGTCTTTAAGAGAATAACATAAATATTAAAATAACACTAATATTGGCCCAATGTAACTTTTTGATTGATAATTACAGGGCAGTGCTTCTCATAGTCATACATGTGAACTCTCCCACTTTCAGCAGCTATGTTTTCAATGATTTTTCTTTAAAAAAAAAAGGGCCCACACAGCTAGCCACTTCCTTTTTTTTTGGTGTCAGAATTTCCTTGTTAATTGCAAAGTCTTAAATCTCCCTCTTTTTAAAGAAAAATCTCCCTCTTGATAATCCAAAAAGTCACATGTATGGCTTCTGACAAATTAAAAAAAATCTTTTGTTGAAGAAACAGGAGTTAATTAAAGCTTCTATTTTCAATCTATTACAAAGGCCCAGCCTTGATGAGACAGAATCAAATCTAGGCTTAACCTTTTACCCCATGAGCAATTGTGAAAAATGGCTGTTTTCATTGAAAAACCTCCCGTTACAAGTTCAAAGTGCTATGAAACTATGAAAAAATGCTTCAATACTGATGAAACTTGGCACAAATGTTGACTGGACCAAAGCCTCTGTAACAGCATATCCAATCGTAAATTTTTTGTTACCATGGCAACGGTGGGGACGTCTTAGAATTGCGAAAAATCACTATTTTGCGTTGTTTTTTCCATCAAAACTGATTTCAAAGTGCTGCAACTTCTCAATGAATTAAGATAGAGTAAAAGGCTTTTGAGCGTCGGTTACTAGTTACCCTAAGATCGACCTGAGGCCAGTTTTAGCCTGTCACGTGTCCAAAATTTTCTTGGCGATGAGGGGGACTATGGCCCCGCTTCCAACCCCCCAAACAGAAGGGAGCACAACCCCCTTCTGGCAACTACCTGATGAACCAATTTGATGGTAGGCCGCGCCGAAAAAGTGGTCACCTTTTTTAACAACATTTCTCAAATGAAAAACAGTGTTTTCACTGTTTTGGGCCAAAATAGGGCATTTTTTCCAAAAAAAAAAAGGGGGGACAAAAAGCCATCAAAACACGTTAATATGAGGGAAAAGGTTAAGTGTCAACTTACTAGAAAAGAAGAATGAAAATATCAGATAATGTGGCTGATGTTATCAATAAAATTCAACTTTATGTTTTTACCAGTAAACACTGTAAATAGGCATAATTTTAGCTTCATATTATCAGAGCTGAACCAAAACAAATCGCGAAATTATGTGACAATACTTTAAACAGAGAATGTGTTATTCTCAAGCAATTTATTAGAACAAAGAACGAACTTTAAAATAAAAAATACAACAGCTGTACAATAAATTACATCGCATTACCTTAAATGTGTTAAAAATTCCGTTTAGACCTATGTTGACAATAATTGACATAGGGTAATTCATGTACGAATATATAAAATTGTCGTTGTCGTCAATGTGAACAACAACAACAACAATATTATTTGTATTACTTCAAATCAGACAAAGTAAGTCTAATCATCAGTAAATATGGATGTTCAGAGATACCTGATAGTGAAAACATTGAAGACATATCTATAAGTTCTTCCAAAATCACACAGATTCCTCTACAACCAACTAAATACTGTATGATTTTAACATGCCCTGTTCCACACAGATAGATAAGATAAGAAATTTATATGAACAATACTCATAAAGTCAATGATTAGGAAGCTATATGAACAAGCGATTAAACCGCTAAGTTTGCTATATCTTAAAAACATGGCCTATTTCTTCTGGAAATTTTTGGTGTCTTTTAAATGATTAGTCATTAAATTAATACTTATATAGACATGTGGGTACATAATTTGATTTATTAATTAATTGTCTATTTGTAATAACTTAGGTTATGAAACAGAAAGTGAAGTACTATGTAATCGTTTCTAAGCAATTCAAATGATTTCAGCCATAAGAAAAAATCTCATAAATATATAGAGGATATTTGTTTAGTTCAGTGTAAGATCGGAATATGTTTCACCGAGTGAGCACCAAAATGTATATTTCACGAGTGGCGCAGCCACGAGTGAAATATGAACTTTTGGTGTTCACAAGATGAAATATATTTCGATCTTACACTAAACTAAACAAATTTTCTTTTTATTTCATGCAAAGAAACGTTTTAAAAAGACATTAAACCTAATACTGAATGAAAAGCGTGCCAAATAATAATACAACGTGACGTCATTTACGACGTCACATCATTAAGTTGGTACCCAGTACTGTGCACGCTGGTATTTCACTGAAACAACGTACTTCTGTTATGGACAAGCTTTGTTAGACTTGGCTCGAATGGAGAATGGAGTGCTGGGAAACGCCCTTCAAGGAGTGCCTGAAACTGATGATGAATCATACAACAAAACAATAACACAAAGCTGAGGTGGTCAACATTGAAAATAACAAAACTCAAAGATTTTTCTTCTTTATTTCCCAATGAATTTAACAATGCAATGATTCAATAAAAAATAACCAATCACTTCACTGTACAATGTCACATGATAATAACAATATTTAAAGGGACTCGTTCACATTTCTAAGGTGAAAATAAGAAAGTAACTGTACATGTATGCCAAACTAAGAAGAACACGTAGACTGTCGGAACAAATAAAACAAAGCACATTTTTGATAAAATATTGATGAATTTCTTATCAGATATTCAACATTTGTGTTGTTGTATGACAACTTATTACAAAAAAACCCTTCAGGTTACTAAGATCATCTGATTTACAACTGAAATAACTACAGACATCAAAATCTTAATCACATGCAATACTGTACAACTGAATTTTACCAACAAAAAACTTTGTACATTTGAAATTTAACACCAAAACTAACACCAAAAATTATGGACATCTGAATCATAATCACAGAAGATAATGGACATCTGAATTTATCACAAATAACTATAGGCATCTTAAAAATTATCACAAAAGATAATGGTCGCATCTGAAATGTCAAATATTAAAGATTATCTGAGTTTCATCACATAAAACAATGGACATATGAATTCATCACAAATAATAATAGACAACAGAATTTTATCAAAATTCTATGGACCTCTGGATTAATATTCAAGAAAGTTAATTAATAAGTGGTCACCTGAATTTATCACAAATTACATCAGTATTTGACCACATAAATTCACAGACACATGGATATATCTAATCAAATTACTTGTACCTAACATTGACATCTAAACAATATTCCTCAATATTCGTATTTACATTGTTCTGTGTATCATCATAAAAAAGTCATCCTCAGATTTTACAATACTTGCTAATTTTTTTTAATTATCTATATACTTTTTGAAATAGCCAAGGACAAATTTTCACCTTAGAAAAGTAAAAGAATAGCTTTAATATTGAACATTGCGATCAATTCAAATTTGGCCCACTAAGATACAGTAATGATTATATGGCAGTATATTTGAGCCGCGTGCGACAAAGCCAACATAATGCGTTTGCGACTAGCATGGATCTAGACCAGCCTGCGCATCCGCGCAGTCTGATCAGGATCCATGCTGTTACTTTACAAACACTATTACAAGTAGAGAAACTGATAAGGAACAGCATGGATCCTGATCAGACTGCGTGGATGCGCAGGCTATTCTGGATCCATGCTGGTCACAAACCCATTATGTTGGTTTTGTCATGACGCGGCTCATTTATATTCAGAATAACATCACAGATTATAACCTAGATATAAATATAATTGCCCCTCAAAAATCATGATAATTACTTCCATGTGCATGTATAGTTTAGTAAATGCTATGACATAAGCAGCTGCAACTCATGCAAAATGATTTCAAAGAAGATTTCCCTCACAAGATATATGTGCAAAAATATGTATCAAAACACTGTATATGTAGTTCAACCCTAAAAGAATTCCCATTTAACTACTCATTCTGATGATAGTCGGTATTCACACATGCATTAAATACATTACTAATCTCCTGAAACAAAACTGGACTTTTTTAAAACAATTTTTAAAACCTCTAATCCTTACAGCATCAATGATAGACGATATATCCCAACAAAAAAATATTCTTAGCACATTAATTTTAAAATACAATGTATCATAAAAATGTATATACCTTTGCATGACCATGATTTGACAAACTTAGCATTTTTTTACTGGGTATATCTTAATACGAAAAAAATTCTATTTGTTCAAACCTCTAAACTTACAGAAATTTACAATTATAATTATAATAACTGTAACTTGCCAATACAGGGGCCCTAACCTAGGCCATCAATTCAAAGCAGACTATCAATATAGATTTATCTCCCTGTAATATATGCTTATACATAGGGACTGACATTTTGTCAATATGTTGTGACAAAAAAATCTGATTATTCATGCCTTAGTTTTCTTATGATAAGACATAAATAGAAATGATCAGTGTTGAATAAAGGGTTGAATCCCAGACACCCAACAAATTATATAAATATACAATGTTAGCACACTATTTATAATGATTTTAAGCTGATACATGTACAAGTCAATAGTTTAGCACAAAACTCTCAAAATGCAAAATCTGCAGTAACAGAGTTTGGAATGTACATTAAAAATTGCACAATAAAATTCTTATTTACAAATAATAAAATAAAAAACCCTGGTCACTGAATTTCATGATAACAAATTTTCAGAAAGCCTTAGCTAGAAAAGTATGGTTACAAGAAAAGCTGTATGAACTTGACAAAGCAATGCTCTGTATCATAAAGCCAAAATTGTAAACCAGTCCAACTTTCAAGCTCTGTCATTGGCTAATTTTCAATTAATATAATATAATAACAAATGAGATGTAAACCAGTCAAAAATGAAACTCTTACATTGGTTAATTTCAAATTTATGTAATATATGAACCAATGAGTTGTTAACCAAAGATTGTGAAAGCAGTCCAAAAAATGGAACTCTGTCATTGGTAAAAATAAACCACTCAGATGTTAAAAATTTCAGGGGTAACAAATTTTAGGCTCCATTTCATAAATAAGTGATTGAAAAATGCAAATGCTTTAGTGTTATATCTAATTAACAACTAATTTTTGTTTGTTTTGGGTTTTTACGTCACATCGACACAGTATAGGTCATATTGCGACGTTCCAGCTTTACTGGTGGAGGAAGACCTCAGGTGCCCTTCCGTGCACTATTTCAGGAACGAACGGGCACCTGAGTAGAACCACCGACGTTCCGTAAGCTAGCTGGATAGCTTCCTCACATGAAAGAATCCAAAGTCCCTGTCGGGATTCGAACCCACAGCGGTGAGGGGCAAGTGGTTTGAAGTCAACGACCTTAACCACTCGGCCACGGACGCCCCTGAACAACAACTAATTTAACTAATTACTAGTCATAAAATTAACAAAATATACAACAACATTTTAAAAACAAAATATAGAAAAATAAGTTATCTTGTTGAATTTCCAACAATTTTTACAAATGTAAATCTATATATATTTTTTTCACAATAAAGAAGCACAACGTTATTTTAAGACTTTTGGCATAAAACAATACTTATTAGTACCATTATAACAAATATCACAACTGTATTTTTCAGGGACACACAGTCACGCACAAGAGTATGTGCAAACACACACACAAAACCCATTCCAAAACATTGGATTAATTTTACATCGATAACTTCTGCCTAGAGGATGTGCATATTCTAAATAAACATATAAATAAATAAAATGCTATATTACAAAAGTGCTATGTTTTTCTTGTCAGCCCCCTTTGAATATAATCGCACAGACCTTTTCTGACATTACATTGTTTCAATAAATAAACACATTAAACAGATACAAGTTAACCAGTTCACCAGTATTCCTTTAATTCAATTAATTAAATTCCTTAATTATCATGTTATAAACATAATAGCGTATATATAATTTATGTTCACTTTGTATTCCTTTTATTTTTGCTGTACATACATATATACAACTACATGTATATTCTTTATTTTATTCAAATTCTTATTCACACTATTATATAGTTAAACATGTTTATTTCACCATGCTAATTCTTTTTTAATCATTTTGAGTCTGCTTTCTGGACTTCACCAGTACTGGTTTGATTTGAGCAAACCTAGTCAAGACCCTAGCAAGGTTTAAACTAAATGAGGCACACACTGGGTACTATTTGGCTTCCACTTTACCATCCCCAGTACAATATAACAAAAAATTAAAGATGTGTCGAAACAAACTGTTAACACTAACAACATTATAAATGCATGATAACATAATCAATCAACTTTCAGTACAAAGTTTCATAGAAAATATATTTCACTGAAACAAAAACAAAAAAGATATACAACATTTGTTTGTGTAATAGTTTAAAAAAGCAGCAATTATAAAACTATAATTATATGCCCAAACAGCAGAAAGCAACAGTTTTTATAAATCAATCTTTCACAAGAAGTAGCTACAGAATCAACACGATTACAAAAATAACATTTTCAAAAGCTAGCCTGATTAAACTCAGCTGTTATATTTTACCTTCACTACATGTACACCAAATATCTTAAATGGATTTGCCCATCTTTCAATATGGACCTAAACATTTATCATTTTAAGGGAGAATTTCAAAACATGAACAGACTGACTGGTGAACAGTGCAGACTATGATCAGAAGGCACGGATGTGCCAGCTGATAACATTCTGAACTAGTTTTATGGGTAGAATTGGTTGCAATAAGTATGCTAATATTCAAATTAATCAATTTACAAATATGAATAATGAAAAAAAAGAATGAAACTGAACATTAAGAGAAATATAAACTAACTGAAATCTTCAGCGACATTCAAAAGTGTTGAAAATTGCTAATTTTAAAAAATATGTGACCCAAAAAAATTCAATTTGTATCCCCAAACAAAAGCATGAAAATGATTGACCAAAGATAAAAACCCCAACTGTGGTCCCAAAGTGGAAAAGAAAGAAAAATATAAAAGTATGATAAGCAAAAATAAAACTTACACAATCTGACAACAAAATTATTTTGACAGGCACTAAACTGACAGGAAAATGACTGTGAATGTAACTGACAAATTAAACCGGATAAATATATGATTGATACAAATTTAATTGAAATGATTAATATACATGTGCATAATAAGCATTTTAAAATGACTTTTTAGTTGTTCACTAACTTGTATTTAAAGTTCAAAATTTAGTGAAATGTACTAAGCAAGTTTACAGTCACATCTGGAGAGAGGTTTAGCACAAATTGTCTTTGTTAAACCTATTATTTTAATGTACATGAAGAAAACAGAATAAATTATTCCCTTACAAACAAATGTATACAGAAACAGACATCAGGTGTTTGTAGTTGGTAAACCAATGATATCACACATTCTCTGACTTATTTTTCTCTCGTAAATTTACCATCAGTAGTTTAGTTAAATTTAAGTTTTATGTACGATTATTGTTATCAAGATCTGCTCCTTTCTTTCTTTATCTTAGTGATAATTTTTCTAATTAATGTGTTCATATTCTTCAGGTTATGATTATTCCGCTGACAGATTCTCTTGCTTCACTAGAAATTTCTTGAACAAGCTATGATTCATTTAACTAACCAAATTTGCAGACATGTGATTAAGTAACGCCTGCTTGAGCTCACACATGTAGGGCATCTAGGTAAGACCAGACCACCTATGTAGGTATGAACCCCATCCTCCAGGTTGCTGCGAATCTGATGCTTCCTCTCCTACAAACAAAACAAAAATACCTAGGATTATTACAAACCCCGTAATGAGTATCTGTAAATATGGACTGATGTTGGGTAATATTGTAAAAAACATGAATCCTCATTTTTTTGCTATACCTATTTCATTATTTTTTCATCATGCACCCCAAAGTGACATCACTATTTGAGAACAGAAACAAATATGGCAGCTTGCCCTTAGACAGCTATGCAATTATCATGTGTTGTTTTTTTTGACTCAGTCAATAAAATTGTTAATTCCATTAAAATCAACTCAAATAATTTGTTACTGCACATACATAATTTAAATCACAGAACAGAACCAAACTAGAAATGTGTCCATGAGACATGGATGCCCCCACACGCCACTGTTCTGTCAATCTTATGACTCTAGGTCAAATATTTTTTGGACTACATGTGCCACAAGTTGTAAACTAAAAATCAACAAAGGGCCATAATTCTGTTAAATTTGGTCACAGCAAAAATTCCTTCCTTTACTACCATCTACACATTAAGGTTGTTAATCCCTGTAAGTTTAAGCAAAATCTGCCATCTGGTTTAAGAGGAGTTGCGTTCACAAGATTTCGGGACGTACGGACGTACGGACGGACTGACGGACGGACGGACGGACGGATGGACAAGTGCAACGCTATATGCACCCACATTGTGGGGGCATAAAAATCAACAAAGGGCCATATCTCTGTTAAATTTGGTCGCAGCAAAAATTACTTCCTTTACTACCATCTACACATTAAGGTTGTTCATCCCTGTAAGTTTAAGCAAAATCTGCCATCTGGTTTAAGAGGAGTTGCGTTCACAAAATTTCTACATAGTATCTAGTGAAAAAATCAACAAAGGGCCATAATTCTATTAAATTTGGTCGCAGCAAAAAAACCTTCCTTTACTGCCATCTACACATTAAGGTTGTTCATCCCTGGAAGTTTAAGCAAAATCTGCCATCTGGTTTAAGAGGAGTTGCGTTCACAAAATTTCTACATAGTATCCAGTGAAACTAGAAATGTGTCCAAAGGACACGGATGCCCCAACACTCCACTGTTCTGTCAATCTTATGACTCTAAGGTCAAATATTTTTTGGACTACATGTGCCACAAGTTGAAAACTAAAAATCAACAAAGGGCCATAATTCTCTTAAATTTGGTCGCAGCAAAAATTCCTTTCTTTACTACCATCTACACATTAAGGTTGTTCATCCCTGGAAGTTTAAGCAAAATCTGCCATCCGGTTTAAAAGGAGTTGCGTTCACAGAATTTCTACATATAAGTATATAGTGAAAAAATCAACAAAGGGCCATAATTCTGTTAAATTTGGTCGCAGCAAAAATTCCTCCCTTTACTACCATCTACACATTAAGGTTGTTCATCCCTGGAAGTTTAAGCAAAATCTGCCATCCGGTTTAAGAGGAGTTGCGTTCACAAAATTTCTACATAGTATATAGTGAAAAAATCAACAAAGGGCCATAATTCTGTTAAATTTGGTCGCAGCAAAAATTCCTCCCTTTACTACCATCTACACATTAAGGTTGTTCATCCCTGGAAGTTTAAGCAAAATCTGCCATCCGGTTTAAGAGGAGTTGCGTTCACAAAATTTCTACATTATAAGTATATAGTGAAAAAATCAACAAAGGGACATAATTCTGTTAAATTTGGTCGCAGCAAAAATCCCTTCCTTTACTACCATCTACACATTAAGGTTGTTCATCCCTGGAAGTTTAAGCAAAATCTGCCATCCGGTTTAAGAGGAGTTGCGTTCACAAGATTTCGGGACGGACAGACGGACGGACGGACACTCGGACGGACAATTGCCACACTATATGCTCCCACTCTGTGGGGGCATAAAAATCAACAAAGGGCCATAATTCTGTTAAATTTGGTCGCAGCAAAAATTCCTTTATTTACTACCATCTACACATTAAGGTTGTTCATCCCTGGAAGTTTAAGCAAAATCTGCCATCCGGTTTAAGAGGAGTTGCATTCACAAAATTTCTATATGGTGTATAGTGAAAAAATCAACAAAGGGCCATAATTCTATTAAATTTGGTCGCAGCAAAAAAACCTTCCTTTACTGCCATCTACACATTAAGGTTGTTCATCCCTGGAAGTTTAAGCAAAATCTGCCATCCGGTTTAAGAGGAGTTGCGTTCACAAAATTTATATATGGTATATAGTGAAAAAATCAACAAAGGGCCATAATTCTGTTAAATTTGGTTGCAGCAAAAAATTACTTCCTTTACTACCATCCACACATTAAGGTTGTTCATCCCTGGAAGTTTAAGCAAAATCTGCCATCCGGTTTAAGAAGAGTTGCGTTCACAAAATTTCTACATAGTATACAGTGAAAAAATCAACAAAGGGCCATAATTCTGTTAAATTTGGTCGCAGCGAAAATTCCTCCTTTACTACCATCTACACATTAAGGTTTGTTCATCCCTGGAAGTTTAAGCAAAATCTGCCATCCGGTTTAAGAAGGAGTTGCTTCACCAAGATTTCGGGACTTTACGGACGGACGGACAGACGGAATCACGGACGAACAAGTGCAACGCTATATTGCCCCCCCACTTTGTGGGAGCATAAAAAAGTTTAACATTATCATGAATGAATGTACCTTGAGCAACTTTCTGAAGAGTCAATTTTTCCTCAGCACTAAGTTTTAGCATTGTGTTCAATACAGGTATAAGCTGGTTCCTCTCATCTCCAACTTTCAAACTCAAAAACTGAAATTATTAATTCAAAAGTAGTAAAGAAATAATTAATTTTAGACTCCATCTTACTCTAGCATTTGTTTGGTTCCTTATTTTTTAGTTTTGGTCTGGTTCTCTATTTCTTTACTTTTGGTCAAATTATAAATCAACTTTGTGTTTTGGACTGTTTCCCTGTTTCTTTCATTCGTCTACATCCCTTTTTTCATTTGGTCTGGTTCCATATTTCTTTCATTTTGGTGTGGTTCACTATTTCTTCTTGTTTTGATCTGGTTCCCTGTTTCTTTTACATGCATTTCGGTCTGGTTTTAAGTCACACAGACACTACTAGGAACATATACACATATTCAAGTTTAACTTGTAAAAGAATACATCATATTCTCTACCATGTCATATTTATGTCACATAATGACACAGGAGTGGAACCATCAACCTTTCAATAATCTAACTGAATAACTTCCGCGAAAAATAGAAATAAACATTGCTGGAAAAATTCTATCAGCATTAAAGAGTGTTCAAAAGTCAGAGACCTTAAGCACTCTACAATAAAGTCATCAGTTTCTTGTTATTGTATTGTTACCTTAACTATTCAAAACAGTAAACAAGAACTGTCTGTTTGGCTATTCTAAGTGCTTAATAATAAAACAAGAGCCTGGATAATGTAGAATTTGGCAGTTCAAAAAGGACCATAATTCTGTCAAATTACATGTTAATGTTCTGGGTCTTTGTTCGTGAGGTCCTATCATGCTCTCAAGTAAGTGTGTTTACTTTCAATCCATTCCCTTTAGTAGTTTTGGAGATACCAACTTGCACACAAAAAATTTGACCAAAGTTTGTGCTGACACCTAGGTGTGTACAATAGCTCTCTCTATTCTTAAAATAGTCAAGCCAATAAAAGCAGCCGATTCAAGAAACTACCTAATCAATATTAAGATTGACCTGGCTGTATACAACTGTTATATGTCTATAATAACTAGAAACTATCGCTGAATGCGATTGATACCCCCACCAATGTCCTTGACAGAAGACGACTTGGAAAGGTGGTTAAGGGAATAAATTAAGTGGCACAAATACATAAAAAGAAATTATCTCTGGTGAAAAAAAGACTAATTGTACAGGTAATAGTATAAATATCGATTATCAAATCATGTTCGAAACAGTTACAAATAACCTTTCATTTTCCCAATATACTGAACTTTTTATAAGTCAATTTTTGACCTTCAAGTGTGGCTTTGACCTTAAGCTGGCACAAGGGTAAAATGGGTTCTGCATATCGCCCATTTGGGGTGAACATATGAGTAAAGTTTGAAGAAAATCCTTACATTAGTATAGAATTTATAGAGCGGACACAACATATTGTCTAGTATTGATTGTATGTAAATTTAAAGACTGAAAAAGGGGCATAACTTTGTCAAAATGCAATACAGAGTTATGAAACTTGACCTGCATATCGTAATTGTGACACCTCATATATGTTTTAAGTTTCAATCAAATACCTGTGCTAGTTTCAGAATTATTCAAGTACATGTCAAAATTTAAGAACATTTTCTAAGTCAATTTTTGACCTTCAAGTGTGACCTTGACCTTTAGCCTGCACAAAGGTGACATGGATTCAGCACATAACCTTGTTTAGGTGAACATTTGAGTAAAGTTTGAAGAAAATTCTTCCATTAGTATAGGATTTATAGAGCAGACACGACATATTGTCTAATATGTGACTGTATGTAAATTTGAAGATTAAAAAGGGGCATAACTTTGTTAAAATGCAATACAGAGTTATGTAACTTGACCAGCATATCTTAATTGTGACACTTCATATATACTTTAAGATTCAAGCAAATACCTTTCCTAGATTCAGAAATATTCAGATATATGTTAAAATTTAAGAATATTTTCTAAGTCAATTTTTGACCTTCAAGTGTGACCTTGACCTTAAGTCGGCAAAAGGGTGACATTGGTTCTGCACATCCCCTTGTTGAGGTGAACATTTGAGCCAAGTTTGAAGAAAATCCTTCAATTAGTGTAGGACTTACAGAGCAGACACAACATATTGTGTAATATTTGATTGTTTGATATTTGACCATCAAGTGTGACCTTGACCTTGAGCTGACACATGGGCAACATGGGTTCTGCACATCACCTTGTTGAGGTGAACATTTGAACAAAGTTTGAAGAAAATCTTTCAATAAGTGTAGGACTTACAGAGCGGACACGACATACTGTCTAATATTTGATTGTTTGATATTTGACCTTCAATTGTGACATTGACCTTGAGCTGACACATGGGCAGCATGGGTTCTGCACATCCCCTTGTTGAAGTGAACATTTGAACCAAGTTTGAAGAAAATCCTTCAATTAGTGTAGGACTTACAGAGCAGACACGACATATTGTGTAATATTTGATTGTTTGATATTTGACCATCAAGTGTGACCTTGACCTTGAGCTGACACATGGGCAACATGGGTTCTGCACATCACCTTGTTGAGGTGAACATTTGAACAAAGTTTGAAGAAAATCTTTCAATTAGTGTAGGACTTACAGAGCGGACACGACATACTGTCTAATATTTGATATTTGACCTTCAATTGTGACCTTGAACTTAAGCTGACACATGGGCAACATGGGTTCTGCACATCCCCTTGTTGAGGTGAACATTTGAGCCAAGTTTGAAGAAAATCTTTCAATTACTGTAGGACTTACAGAGCAGACACGACATACTGTCTAATATTTGATATTTGACCTTCAATTGTGACCTTGAACTTAAGCTGACACATGGGCAACATGGGTTCTGCACATCCCCTTGTTGAGGTGAACATTTGAGCCAAGTTTGAAGAAAATTTTTCAATTACTGTAGGACTTACAGAGCGGACACGACATACTGTCCAATATTTGATTGTGTTTGATATTTGACCTTCAATTGTGACCTTGACCTTGAGCTGACACATGGGCAACATGGGTTCTGCACATCACCTTGTTGAGGTGAACATTTGAGCCAAGTTTGAAGAAAATCCTTCAAGTGGTATAGGAGTTATAGAGCGGACACGAAAATGGAGACGGACGGACGGACCGACCGACCGACGCGACAAAGCGAATCCATTATAGCCCCCCTCCCACATTTTGTGGTGGGGGTATAATTATAATTTAAAATTACCTTCATTAGGATATTTTTTAGGTATTCGAGATTTTGTGTTTCTTTTTCTCGCTGCGTATTTCTCTCCAGTCTACGTATTTCATCTTTCAATATCTTCACTTGTTCTGTCAATCTCATTACATCAGCCTCACTTTCATTCATCAGCTTGAAATAATAATACATCAATTTAATACATCAGTTAGTCACAGGGCTATAATTTGAACAATCTTGGTAAAGGTTCACTTCGCAAAGTCTCATGCCATATATTTAACCTCTAGCCTTGAAGGCTATTCATTAATTATTCAATAAAGCTAAGCCACTTTGGTACATTATTGTGATATTTTCTAAGTTAAAAAGGGACATGATAATGTCAAACAATCAGAATTATGAAACTTGACATACACAGTTGAATTGTGATATTGCATTGATCTTTAAAGTTTCAAGTTAATATGTGTTCCAGTTCCTGCAATGGGACATGATTTGACAAAGATATTCATATATAGTTCCCACCCACTAAAATTATGTGGCATAAACAATCATTCATTAACCAAGCAAAATCATACAACCAATCAAAAAAGTTTTGTAATGAATTTATAATGCAACACAATTGTTTTCTTTGATTACAAAAGAAAATAATTCATAAAATATACAGCAGCCTTGTATATGAATAATATAAACATCATAATTAACCAATGAAAATGAATGTTACAAACATACAATATTATATAATACAAGCAGTGTTCAATCTAGAGCGCGCCATTGCGCCATTGACCCCCTGAAAAGACCGCCGGCGCAAAACAAATTCAACTGTGGGCCCGACGGGCACACTCATAGAAAATGCCATTAATGATCTTAAACCTGACTAAGTACATAAAAAGTTTCTTGTGAATAATATTAATAAATACTGAATTCAAAACTGAAGATTGTATAGAAAAACAAGAGCGTGTTGGTAAGATAGTTACCGCACTCGGTAACCCTTTTAAAACCTTGATCGCTACGCTCTCTCGGTCCGGGTCTGTAAATACTATGCAGACCTGTTCTTAGTACCCTAACTATTACTTATACTTTTGAATCACAGTTTTTATAAACAAAACAAATCATCACATGCGTGTAGTTATAGGTTTTTAACGGTCAAAACAAATTAATATGCAATAACTTTCCGGAGGAAAAAAAACTATATATTTGTGATAAAGTGCAAGTTAATTATAGAGGTGTGCATAAATTATTACGAACACGCCTTCAACCAATTAAAAAAGTCTTAAAGATGGAGCTAATCAAACACAATTGGCTAGGGAGTGTCTGACAATTGAGTAAATAAACTTTGATTGGTCTTTGGCTGGTCGGCGCTAAAACATTGTGCATAACATTAATCAATACAGACATCCTAAGCGTGACATAAGAACTGCTGCCCTGACAAAAGATCAAAGGTACCGGTATGTCAATATACATTGTCTAAGCACCTGTTGACACTTTGTTTTTTAGCTTGGATATATTGAGAAGGGTAAATGTTTTTAGCGACTATTGTAAGTTTATAAGCTACTTGCAAAATACGATTTTCCTTTATATATCGGGCGCTGATTAAAAAACTGAACATTGTAATAAAATATCCCTGGTAACATTTAAATAAGATTCATATGTTTCTTTGAACATTATGTCATTGTTTCTTTACCAATCAGTTCTTGAGCCTGCATCAACGCTAACAGAACTCTCGAAAAAGGTCCAAATAATGTCATTTTTTTAGTTGAGTTGATGGTTATGAAATTTTGCAACTGTTTTTGGTCTAAATATGGTACATGAACAAGTAACTTAAAAAGATACAATACCTTATTTGAATTTGATGTTCATTTTAAGTGTTGGCCCCCTTTTTTCTCAAATTACCCCCTTTTGAAAAGTTTATGGGCCCGAAGGGCCCCCTGGAAATTTGTTCTAGATTGAACACTGATACAAGTAAACATTACCTCTGTTAAATGTTCATTTTTCTTCTGTTCCTTTGTTAGTTTATCTTGTAAAGCATCAACATCTACATGTGAGCTTGCTACACCTGTACAATATACAACATACAAACATGATATATACCAAATTATATGATTATTCATAATTTATGTCTGAAAGTGGTTTATTTTTGTCCTGACTATTGATTAAAAAAAGTTTAAACTAGTTTTTTTATAAGGAGAAATTCAAGCATATTTTGAGTGAAAAATATACGCAAATGCATTGTAAATGATTTTCTCTGCGCACAATATAAGTCTGAGGCTGCCAAAGTAAAAGGCATCATATCATCTATCTGTAAGCTGGCCATTTGGCTTCCTAATTCCATTATATTGGTGGCAGAAAAAAAGGTAAATTTCAGAATTCTACAGAAGGCCATGGAGGTGTCATCATATACACATAAACATGTGCAATATGACATATTAAAGTACACTTACATGTACAATATGACACACTGAAGTGAATAAACATGTGCAATATGACATATACAGGCACTCTAATATGTGTATTATGATATATCAAAACACATTTAGATATACAATATGAAATATTAAAGCACATTTATGAGGGTTGTTCGGGAAGTTCTGAGAATTGTTTTATAGCACACATTGTAGTCGGGTTAGCGTAAATATAAATATATACGCATTTATTTCAATATATAATGTACAGTATCTGAAAATATCATCATCATACACACAGAAACTAAAACATAATAAAAATAGTAAATAACCATATAACAAACACCCGGAGCACGTCGACGTTATTTGCAACGTTATGCGACGTTAAAGTCCATCGATCGTCGCACCTTTTCAATGTAGTCACCTGCAATTTCGATGCATTTCCTGCGTCGGCTGATCCACTTATTGTATGTTTCCACGTACCAGCTATCGGTAAAGGACGAGACTATAGCTTGCCTATGCTTAACAAGATCGTCAGCTGAGTCAAAGCGTTTTCCACGCAGCTGTGATTTGAGCTCCGGGAACACACGGAAGTCCATCGGAGCGAGGTCCGGGCTGTATGGAGGGTTTCTTCCTTCTTTAAAACGAGCATGCCATCTATACACTGTAGCCGGACTGCATTTCTTGTATTTTCCTGTAGTATTGATCATTTTTATTGTTTCTGTGGAAGACTTTTCCAGCGCAACACAAAATTTCACGATGCTTCGCAATTCAACGTCACCTATCGACGTCATGTTGTTTACTCAGTGGCTCTGGGCAGCGTTATAGTGTTGCTATGGTTACTGCTATTTCCGGCTATTGTTGTCTGATTCTATTAAATTTTTAGGAATAGTTCCGTGATATGCTAATCTTAGTATGTGCAAAATATTACGTGTTTGAAACAAAAAATATAGGAGATATGACAAAATTCCCAGAACTTCCCGAACAACCCTCGTATATGTACCATATGACATATTAAAGCACTCACTTGAAGTGTCATCCATATCTGCTGTCAACAACTGATCTAGAGGCAGCAAACCTGGCTTTGGTTTTGGTAACTTGCCCTGAAAAAACACATGTATATACATCTATATATCTGCCAAATAAAATATAAAAAACACCTATGTTTGATTAATAAACTCTACACACTCCATACCTTTGGTATTTAGTTTTTAACCAAGTGGATTACAAAACATATTGTAAAAAAAATACTTTTCCTTTGATGATTTTTTTATATATGATCAGTTTTATTTTTAAGCTTAACATGGACTGAATTGTGAAAAATTTATCTACATGATCTGAGGTCACAGTGAGAATGTCTTGAATACAAAATACAGTTTATTTAAGCTTTTGTAGTACAGTCAATATGTTTTATAAATTTACATCCTAGGCATAAAACCAATTGTTATAACATGTATTTTAAAAACATTATATTTACATGGGGATATGCCTCTGATGGAATAATTACAGCTACTAAATCAGACTCTGATATTAAGCATAAAACCGCAGTATAATAACTTACCCTTGGACAAGGTTCTGGGTCCACAATTTCTGACCCCTCGCCTTCTTGTCTTTCAATATGCCGGAAATCTGGTACAAACTCTGGTGGTGTCGGTGTAACTGATTTATCCTTTTCATTCTGTCGTGGTGAAGTAGCATTTTTCTGCATGTTCTGAAGGTCACGCTGCAGACGCAAGTTTTCACGGTCGAGCGAATCAATCTGTGACTGTAGTAATTCCACTGCTCTGTGGTGATCATCATTGGCAGAACGCAGTTGTTCCTTAAAGTAAAACAACATCATTTAAAACATAAACCTTGAAAGTCAGTGATATCAATCTGCATCACCTTGAATGTCAGAATTATTTTATTTACACTGGATGTGAAATTGAATGTCAGAATTATTTTACTTACACTAGATATGAAATTGAATGTCAGAATTATTTTACTTACACTGGAATGTCAGAGTTATTTTACTTACACTGGATATGAAATTGAATGTCAGAATTATTTTACTTACACTGGATGTCATAGAAACAAGATGGCATCCACACTTAATGTCAGAGCAACAAAGTTTGTGCTAACCAAGATTGTAGGAGAAATATAATTTGCACTTACCCTGAATGTCTAAACAATTTTATCAAACAAAATTATACCAAAACTGAATGTCAGAAAAACTAAATTTTTGCTAACCCGGAATGTCAGATAAACAAAGCTTGTTAATAGCCAAAAAAACAAAACTTGCACTGACCTTGAATGTCAATAAAACCAATAAAAAAGTTTGCTATTAGCCTTTTTGTCACAGAAACAAAAATAACATTTACCTTGAATGTTAGAGCAAGAGATTCAAACAACATTTACCTTGAATGTTAGAGCAAGAGAAACAAAAATAACATTTACCTTGAATGTTAGAGCAAGAGATTCATTCTGTATTGATAATTGTTTTATTGTCTGCATCTGCTCTGATAGTGCTGCTGATTTTTCTTTTGTCATTTCCTCAATTCTAAAATTAATTACAATACCATTTGTAGTATATACTGGTAGTAATATTTGAAAACAGTGTACAGAGAAATTGCTTAAAATAATTGGATTTACTTATTCTTAATAAAAATGGATTATTTTAGACCATAAACTGAACTAGATGCAGTGTAATAAATAGAGGAATTGAATGAGTGTGGGTTTAGTTCCAAATTTCTTGAATGAGTTGAATAAAATCATATAATGCGAGCCTCTGGTGAGCATAATATTGTTTTAGTCTACAAGTTCAATAAATTTTTTACTGAATCTACACGAATATAAAATATTCTATTTATCACATATTCAAAAAGAGAACTGTTAACAGTTAAAACCAGTCAATTTTTTTCGAATTCGAAAGAGGGCAAATCCATTACATCCATTACACAAAAGTCATCTTTATATTGCCTCTTTATGTTGGCTTTTACTTCACCACAAAAACCATTAATGACATATATAATATAATATAGAGGATATTGAGTGAGTTTAAATTCAATACTGAATATTTATTGAACGTGTTAAATACAGTTATATTAGGTGGCATAATATTATTTTATTTAACAAGTTCAATAAATTCAGTATTGAATTTACACTCATATCATATTTTATTTATCACATATCCAAAATAAAGAGTATTTAAAGTGAATAGGAATCATTTTTCAATGATGCGCCTATAGTGTAATGCTATTATTTAGCCTTTTTTTCAACTTTGTTTGTATGACACAAAGGACATCACATCAAAATATATGCACGGCCATGTCATACAAGATTTCTCTGACAAGTGATATTTTCTTATAAAGAACAAGGGTGCCATAGTCACAAAATACGCCCGTTTACGAAAAAGCTTTAGATGGAGATGGGGGCATTATGGATAAGTGTTATCTAGCAAGCAAGTTTTTATTCTTGGCACTGTGTTGTTAAATGAACCTTAAAACAAATCAGTAGGGAAGATATGCACAGAATGTGTGACCTTGACCTTGGTCGCAGGGACCTGAATTTTATGCACGGCACTCAGCCTCACAATGATGAACATTTGTGCCAAATTATATTGAAATCCCTCTATGCATGTAGAAGTTTTGCTCCAGACAAGTGTTTTTCTATGAGCTCTAACTGTGACCTTCACCTTTGACCTAGAGACTTGGTTTATGTGCAGGGCACTACGTCTCATGGTGGTGAACAATTCTATAAAAGTAACATTAAAATTCCTCCATGCATGTAGAAAAATATGCTCCGGACAACATCTGGATATTTAATCATCTCCAGTGACCTTGACCTTGCAAATATTAACCTAAATTAAATGTGTAACACCTGTAGTCATGATAGTTACCATTTGTGCTACAATCCATCAATAAATGATGACTAAATGGTCCCTATAACCATCTTCAAATTTTTATCTGAACTTTGACCTCTATGTGTAACCTTGACTTTGGTCACAGGGATCTGAATTTTGCATGCGACACTCAGCCTCACAATGGTGAACATTTGTGCCAAGTTATATTGAAAACCCCCTATGAATGTAGAAGTTTTGCTCCGGACAAGCGTTTTTCAATGAGCTCTAAGTGTGACCTTGACCTTTGACCTGGAGACCTGGATCATGCATGGAGCAATACATATCATGGTGGTGAGCATTTCCATAAAGTATTATAAAAATTCTTCCATACATGTAGGAGATATGCTCCAGACAAAATCTGGATATTTCACCATCTTTAGTGACCTTGACCTTGCATATATTGACCTAAAGTACATGTGTCACAGCCGTAGTCATTATAATGACCATTTGTGTTACAATCCCTCAATAAATGATGATTAAATCGTCCCTATACACATCTTCATATTTTTATCTTTTTTTAAACGGGCGTATAAAAAGTACATGTAATTTAATAACTAAAAAATTCTGATTTAAGATTTTATTCTAGGGAAATACATTTCATTACAATTCTTAATCTTTGAATGAGCTGAACTGATATTTACTTGAAAATTAAAATATAATTAAATTTCTATGAGAAAGTATTTACATTTGATAAGGTAATTACTGTATGATCTTTATGAACAAATACCAAGTCTACAGAACACCATAGTTATCACAGTTAAGTATCTTGACCAATGAATGAAACATGTGTAAATAAATGTTACATTCTTTACAACATACTCAAGTCCAAGAAAGAGGATTATTTCATGCCCTTTGATTAAATTCTATTTTTAGAAAATAGATCAAGGGGAGTAATTGTGTAAGTCATTTATGAACAAAGTAATAACTTTGTTGTCTCCCTTTGATTAAATTCTATTTACAAAATCTGGATATTTCATCATCTTTAGTGACCTTGACCTTGTATATATTGACCTAAATTATATGTATCACAGCCATAGTCTTGATAATGACCATTTGTGTTACAATCCCTCAATAAATGATGACTAAATGGTCCATATACACATCTTCATATTTTTATCTGAACTTTGACCTCTAAGTGTGACCTTGACCTTGGCCGCAAGGACCTGAATCTTGCACGCGACACTCCGCCTCACAATGGTGAACATTTGTGCCAAGTATTATTGAAATCCCTCTATACATGTGGAAGTTTTGCTCCGGACAAGCATTTTTCAATGAGCTCTAAGTGTGACCTTGACCTTTGACCTAGAGACCTGGTTCATGTGCGCGACACTGCTCCTCATAGTGGTGAACATTTATATGAAGTTTCATTAAAATCCCTCCATACATGTAGGAGATATGCTCCGGACAAAATTGGACGCCGCCCGCCCGACCGCCCGCCCGCCCGCCAGGGGCGTTCCCATAATACGTCCCGTTTTTCAAACGGGCGTATAAAAACTTTAAAGACAATAACCTTTTCCTGTAGGTGTCATCTTTATCTTGTAGATCTTGTAATGTCTTGTTATATCTCTGTGTGAGTCTATCTTGTTCCTCTTGTAACATGTCATTCTCTCGCCTCATATTCTCTAAACTATCACTAGAAAAATATAAACATTTCTATCATATAAGTTCAAACATATTTATTTAAGCTTGATAGTGAATCAAATTTTCTATTTAGTTTATTCTACATTCTGAATTAACTAGCGTCGGTGTGATAACAAAGAAAACTTTTCATAACCTATATAATAAGGGAAGAACTACCCGTGTGATGATGATAAGACATTTTATCATTATTTTCATCACAATTATTGGGTTTTATGACACAACAAGACACTGAAATTATCATGATGAATTTCCAGATATTACAGAATGACTATTCTAGTATTTCCCCTCTAATGAATTTACAACAACAGATAATCAGCACAAGAATAGTGTCCTATCTGATTTTTCCATTTAAACAGAGCTGTGAAACCCAAGATGCTTTTTACCGACATATTTACAGACACCATGTCTACATTTTTACTGGCTCGAAAAAAGAAATTATATCTTTAAAAAAATTCATATATCAAATATCTGTAGGCACATTGCTTTAAAGAAATATCTTACTTTAGCTCTTCCAGTTTAGCTTTTAACTGTTCTATAACCCTCTCGAGTCTTTCTCTGCAACAGTAAATAATTACATATTTAATCACAGATTGGGTAAAAAAAATCAGATAATTATAACAAATTTGAAAGCTGATCTTTAAACTACTACTTCTTATTTACCGCCTCCATGGTCGAGGGGTTTGAGTCGATGACTTCTTATCCAGTTACCTCTCTGGCGTGGGTTCGATCCCCGGGAGATGCTTTGGTAGTTTAGCGCGGAGGAAGGTAGTCTAGTACTGGTATAACTCTCCAGGAACAATGGTTAGGAAACTACCCGCCTATATGACTGAAATACTGTTGGGAAAAGGCGTAAAATGAAACAAACAAACAAAACAAACTATTTCTAATGTATTGTGGCATTTTGTGCCTGATTTTATGAGGTAATAATAAACTGTTTAGTAAAATACTGAATTTTATTGGACAAGTACACAGCTGTAAAACCTATCTCAGATAAGGCACCAATTTAAGGGACAAAATAAACACTCAAATGTAAATCCGATGGGCCTCAAGTGATAAGCCAAGGCTAGCCTGCATCTATACAGTCTGACTTGGTTCTATCCTGTTGGTCCTTCAATTTATGATTTATGTTTGTCTACTTATTGTCCTTTAAAGTCCGAATGGACTGTTCCAATTTCAAAATAGGGCAAGTCTAATACCAACTATAGCAGGTTAAGCCTTATCAATGTTTACTTATTATTTTTGGTTGGGTTTTATGTTGCATCAACACAGTACAGGTCATAGGGCAACTTTCCAGCTTTACTGGCGCAGGAAGACCTCGGGCATCCTTCCCTGCATTATTTCAGGCACAACCAAGCACCTGAGTAGAACCACCAGCTGGATAGCTTCCCCACAAGAAAAAAATCCAAAGTCCCTGTCGAAGTCAATTACCTTAACCACTCAGCCATAGAAACCTCTGCTTAATAATGTTTAAACTAACTAAATAATTTCCCCAAATAATTCAAGATCACCAGTAAAACTTAAAATAACAGTAACACACAGGTTTTGTATAACTTGTAAACACTGAACCATTTTTAATATTTTACATGTATTAAAAGTAAAAGTACATGTATTATACTAATAAAAATTTGGAGAAATTCTACCTTTCTATCTTATCACCATCATTTTGAGTGTCATTGGGTCCTTTTGTTTTCTGTTGTTTCAACACACTATGAACTCTCACCTGTAAATTGCAGGAAAAAAAACATTAACACTACGAATAGGCAACAGTTCCTGACCACAAATCCATAGGATTATGCATTTGATCCAAATTTGTTAAATCAAAACTACTTTTAAGTCTTTAAGTTGATTCTTTAAAAACCAAGACCTTGTGTAATGGTGGTTTTACAACATGCACTAGATAGAACTAGTTGTTTCTCCTTGGGAGGAGTAATTACAGTTGCACTTAAACTGTCCTCTGAAATATAAAATTACTAAATATCTTCAGTAGATGCTGTTTATATAGATTTTCGGAGGCTACTATAAATAAATGAAATACACAATTCTTAACTAGTATCATGTGTGCAAACAAGTCATTTATCAAAACAACATTAAAGACAGGCCCATCCAAGGCTTTTATAGATCACTTTTTGTTATAGGAATATCTTATTGTTAACATAATAGATGTCTGTAAAGGCCTCTATTATCTGAATTCTAGTGTTCAAATAAATGAACAGGATAGGGAAGATAAAACTTTGAACAGGGCACTATGCAATACTGATACATAGCAAATATGAAATTCTTTTAGTTTTACCATTAATATTTATATACATGTATATTAATTTAAGCTTGATTTGGAAGCAAGCTTGAAGCATGACACTAGGAAAAGAACTTTCAAAACAGCTCACCTTGTAGCCTTCATATTCAGCTTGGCATGCTGCCAATTCACTCTTGGCAAGGTCAAGGTCAGATTGTGTAGAGGTCAAACGACTCTCAAGTGATTTGATTGTCTTCTGCTGACTGTCACTATGGTTACGTAACCTTTCCTCTAATCTCTGCTTCTCAACTGACACAGATGCTATTTGAACCTGAATATAATCCAAACAACATAATTATGATTAAGGATCGATAGCCTCTTAGATTCAAACCCAATAAGGGGCAAGTCTATGTTTCCCTGAGCAAGAAATTTTACACTCATTACTCATTACCTGTTTGTTCCAAGAATGAATTTTAAAGTGTGTCTATCAGCTTATAGCTTCCTACAAAATTGGTCTTAAATAAATTTTGTATAAACTTATTTCTTTTTTCATTATCTTAACAATAATACCAGCAATATTATTGTTTCCCTATTTAACAAATTATAGCATAACTTCAACTTATTTCTTGACTGAAATTCCCATCATTATGATAATAGTACTTGTACCTTTAGTTCTTCAACATGTTGTTGTAATCTTTCAGTCTGACCACGAAGCTGGGCATCAGAACTTCTCTGTTCAGTCTCCATCTTCTTGGCCTCGGCTAAATCTTTCTTTGTTTTCACCAACAGTTGTTTTAACTTGTTCCCTCTCTCCTCTGACTGGACTCTTTGTTCTTCAACTGCATCTTTAAAAGAAAACATGAACCTTAAAATAATATCTTCAGGTTTCCACTAAAGGAATTTAAAAAAAAATGTAAAACTACAACTTATTTAACATTGACCAATGTCCCGTATAACAAAGTTCTATTTTTTAATATCAAATTAAATCCTGTACAAAATATAACTCTAAGGAAATGGTAAATTAACTAAAAATTTCCAAAAAAGAAAAAGGACAATTGATGTCAAAATATGTAGAGGTCAAGGTCATAACTAAATTTCTGTAAGTTAAATTAAGCTCTTCTCAAGAGGATTGATGAAAGCTTTATCTTTAAGAATAAAGATGCCTTGGCCAAGGTTTTAATTCTTCACAGAGATAAACAGAACTTGAAATGTGTCCATAGGACATAGATGCCCATATTTTCCACTGATTTCAGGATGACAGAAAGTAAGACCAAATTTATATGCCCAAACCCCCAATTCTTTTAAATTTTTTATTGGTTTTACATCACAGTGGCACAGTATAGGTCATAAGGTGATGTTCAAGCTTTCCTGGTGGAGGAAGACCTCGGGTGCCCGTTGATGCTTGAAATAATACATGGAAGGGCACCTGAGGAGAACCACTGACGTTTTGTAGCTAGCTGGATAGCTTCCTCACTGAAAGAATCCGAAGTCCCTGTCAGGATTCGAAACCACAGTGGTGAGGGACAAGTGGTTTGAAGTCAACGCCCTTAACTACTCAGCCATAAAAACCCCTAAATTGGGGCATAAAAACGAATGAGATAAATCAATGAAGGGCACAGTATAACAGAGCAGACCTCAGTCTGTAGCAATATGAATGCATCTACAATCAAACATACCAATCTGTTCTTGTAATGTTTTAGCACGCACTTCTAGACGTTCAATCTCGGTCTTCATCTCCGTTATTTCCTCGTCTTTCTCTTGTACCTGTGTGGTCAGTGCCTGAACCGTTCTCTCATAATCTGCAATCTCAAGATCCATCATAGAACTCTGACTGGCTTCCTAAAATACAAACACAGTGTCAAGAATCAAGTAATACCCTGATGATTTTATGCATACCCCTTTTTCCCATGCTGAACACCTGGTGTCATGTTAAATTTTCTAAATTAATTCATTTTTCTAAATTCAATTTTGGAGAGTTCCTTAATAAATTTCTGATAATACAACAATTAAGCTGAAATGGTCTGACTGCAGCATTTTGTAGTGTGGCATTGATCTTATTTGGTGGGAAAAGTCTGCCTATATTGTGTTATGAAAGAGATAAAGCTATGTCTGGTTGGATGTGAGTAACAGAACAATATGATTGATATAATATGACAACATACCTACTTTACTGATGCTGACAAGCCCTCAACTACTGAACAGTGCAATAAGTAAAAGGTAAGTTTTCAAACTATCTTTATATTGGGTGAATGGTGGAGTTGAACGAAACAGCAGCAAACAGCCAAATCAGCAACCTTTACAATCCACCACAGATTCCAAGATGGTTATAAATAACTTGTGAAATTAGAAACCAACATTTATGTCATATATTTTTTTTTGTTTACACAGGTAGAAGCACCTTATTTATTTATTTATTTATTTATACCTTGTTGGCATTTTCCAGCATTTTCTGCATCTCTTGAATTTGCTGCTGTAGACCTTCTGTCACTCCTTTTTGTTTCTCCTCTTCACTCTTCTGTTTATCCTCAAGAGTTTTAACTTTTGTCAACAGCTGTTGCTTCTCCTATGTACACAAACACAGTTTTATTAATTAATGGGTAAATAAAAACAATATACTAAAATATGTTAAATGAACCCAAAGAGGTCCAAAAGCCTTTAATCATAAAAAATTGAGATTTCTAACATAGAATACCAGGGGCACTTAAAACGGAAAGATATGTGAAAGATACAATTCATTTTTCACATTTAGAATAATAATTCTGGAAAAACAGAGTAAGCGAATGATGTAAAATTTAGCACACAAGTTATTTGCCTACACCTTCATCAAATGGAACATTAATCTTGAAAATATAATTCCAGTCATGACATGTTTTAAAACCTCAGTTGAGTCCCTTGAAGGCAATCTTAAAGTATACAATTCATTCTTTTCCAAAAGATGGGTAGGGGGTGAGTGTTATTGGTAGGTATTTAAATTACAATCACAATAGTGACTGTACTGGTTCCTTTAGAAGTCATGTGTTTCTTCAAGTATCTATGCAGACACAAGAAAACTCTTGGATAAAATAACAGACCTTCAACATGCTAATACTTTGAATGCCTCCATTAAACATCGCATTTTTGACTGAAGGAGGCAAACACTTATGAATTGGATACCTTACTCACTCCTACATGGAGATTGTTACAACTACACCTCACTGTGACTATTCAAAATTGAATTTAGTTTTAAATTACCAAACTGATTGTCTAAACAAACCAGCTATCAACAAAACACATGTTTCTAAAATTTTCTATGGACAGACTATCAGAGACTAGTTTGTACATCACATTAGTTAAATATTCAAGACATCTTTAACAAGACTCTTCAAAACATGCCATTTAATTCAATAAATAAATCATTCAAGACATCTTTGATCTCAACTCTTCAAAACATGCCATAGTTTCCAAAAATTTTGGACTTATTATGGGCCAAAATTATAACTCTCAAATTCCAGATACTATATTACAATTATTAAAACTGCTAAAAGAATAATGGTTATATCCGCACCTTGTTAAGCTCATCTTTCTGTATCTTATTTGCCTCTAACTCTTGCTCCAACTTCTCCTGTGTCTGTAACAACAGTAATGAACATTGTTTCTTATTGATAGATAATAAAATTACATTAACGTACAAAAAAAAATCTTCAAATTGTTAGTTGTTTTGTACAAAATTTTAAGAACTAGAAAACTTTTGTTCTGGCCACTGTATTGCAGTTCATGCTCTTGAATGTTATTTTTTTAGTCGCAAGATTCATCAGATGTAGTTCAAACAATTAGGGATGGCAACAAGTACCAATTTCAAAACCCTTGAACATCTTCTGATGAAGTACTTTGTCTCTTGAAATATTTCTTGTAACCTTCTTATAAACAGCACACCTTCAGTTATTTACGCTGAAAACTTTTTTTATATAAATGTATCTGTCTCACTAGTAAGATTCAAACTTAAATACAACGTTAGTAAAGATTCAGGTGAGCTGACTCAATCGTCTTAACCAATCAGCCATTCAGGCCCATAGCTTAAAGTCTTAAAAACCTTAATCCTTAAATCTAGTTTGTGCATAGACTTGCCAAAATTTAAATTTTACACTTTCTTTGTTAATTTTACGGATTTCAAAATCCAACTACTAAAATCATGCAGCTTAGATTATGATTGGAAAGACTGCATTTTTCTGATTGTCTAATCTGGCATTTTTGTTGTATAGTTTTATGCCACTATTTCATCTCACATAGAAAAGTTAATATTAATGCAAGTGTGCATAGATTTTACGAAAAAAATCAACTCTTCTAATAGGTTTTCAAAGATAAATTTCAGCTTACAAACCTTCAGTTGCTCATTAAGAGCTTCCTTTTCAGAAACAAGTATGTCTTTCTGTGCCTTAATCTCTGCCATGTCAGCTTTTAAATCAGTCAGCTGTTGAAGAGTTTTCTCAAAGTCTACCTTGAAACTGTCCTTCTCTTTTATTATTTCTTCAAGCTGCTGTTTCTCCTTGGCACTCTGAAAATATCAAAATTTATCACACACCTGTGCTGATTTTGCGACTCCGTAAATATAGCACTGCACAGCTGTGCATATATTTTGACGTGACATCATTAGCGTTATGCAAACATAGTGTTAAGACGCGCTTAAAGTTAGCGTTAAACTATAGGCGAATCAATGAAAAATGACTCTTATTTCACTTTGAACAGTCTTTATTTTGGGTATGTGATAAATAGAGTATTGAAAGAGTGTAAGTTCATTACTGAACTCGCCAGAGGCTCGCAAAATATAATTTTATTCAACTCCTGCAATAAATTCAGTATGGAACTTACACTCATTCAATATCCTCTATTAACAGGTTATTCTTAGCACTTTTCTTTCCAGTTTTATATCATCTCTAATTTGAAACTACAAACATACCTTTGTCTCAAATTTTTCTCTTTTGTTTATAATTCATTTGTGTTTAAATACCTTCTCATGTTTTAAAAACTAGCTTTGTTTTGATATTTACCTTTGTTTTAAAATCTGCCAGCTCTTTCTTTGTTTTCACAGCAACAGTTTTAAGTTTGTTACACATATCATCCTTTGTTTTTAGATCTGACTTTAGCTTCTCTACTTCAGATTTGACATTCTGAATCAAATAAGAAATATGTCATTTTTTTAGTGTACCATTTATTTATCATTGTATTGAAAACAATAACTAGTCTTTTTAGCGGAGGTCAAATTTGTGCTAAAATGCATGTTTTCAGTTCATTTCACTCCATGTAACTTCTTGAACAAAATTTGATTAAGAACTATTTCATTTATTACAAAATATACCAATTATCTTAGTTTGGCAAAATATATTCTGAAATTCACTCTGTAATTTTTTTACTTCCACACATTTTACTCTTCACATTGTTGGTAAAGCATAATATTACATATATATCTAATTCTATATAGGGATGACTAATTCAATGATGTCATTATAACAAATCAACAATAAACATGTAGTGTGCTAATAAGGATTCAGATTTTGTGTAACTTAGATAATCTATTTAAAAATAGTCTGAAAATACATGAATGGTAGAGGTTAAATCTAATTTTTTGCTGACAAAAATATAATTTCAGTTCCATAAGTTTAATCATATTTAAATGTAAAGATAAAAAGAATGCCCCTTTTGTACATTAAAATGTTGGTTCTTCATTTTACAGTAATTTGTTTGTATTCTCTCCAGGTATCTTACCTCAGCTTTTTGTGTTTTCTCTTGTTCTTTCCCATGATTGTCCCTTTCCAGTAATGTTATCTTTTCCTCAAGTTCTTGGCATCTCAGCTGCAATTCTTCTTCTATCTGTTGATGCCTATTTTCTAGATCTTTATAATCTTTTTCTGCACTATCACTTTTTTCAGCCAATTCAGTTTCCTTACACTTTACTGTTTCCTTCAGTTCATTTGCTTCCAGACTAATTTTTTCAAGCTGTTCAACTTTTAAATGAACATCAGCTTTTACTCTTTCAGTTTCTTCATTTACTTCTTTAAGTTTTCTTTCAAGCACTGATTTTGTTTCAGACAATGCATTCAACTCTTCAGTGGACGTTTTCATTTCTTCTGTCAATAAATTAACCTTTGACTGTAGTTCTTCAATTTCTTGTTTATAGTTATCACATTCTTTCTTTACGATATCTAGTTCATTTTTCAGACTTGATTCCTTATCATTCATCTCTGATTCAGCAAAAGATTTCAATTCATCTATTTGTTTTCCAAGCTCTTCTTCATGTTTTCTTGCTTCTTTCAACTGATTATCAAGCTCCTCTAAGTTTCTTTTCTTTTCTTCATTTTCTTCTTTCACTATCTCAAATTCACTGCCAGTTTTAGCTTTTTCTTCTTGTAATTTATCTATATGTGCTTTTAATTCCTCTATATTACTTTGATTTTTAGCTAATTCATTAGTAAGACTTTTAATTTCATTCAACAAACCTTCATTTTTGTTAACCAAATCATCTTTTTCCAAGGTGACAGTTTTCAAAAGTTCATTCACTTCACTTATCTCATTTTCCAATGAAGCATGCTTTTCATTCAAGCTATTAAATTCTTTTGCATGAGTCTCTATCTTACAGTTTAATTCTTTTAGGACCTCTTCATGTTCCTCTCTATCATTTTTCTTTTGATTTTCAATTTCAAAAACTGAATCTTTCAATGATTTATTTTCATCTTCAAGTTCCCTTATAGACACACTTAGTTTATCCTTTACCTCTGTTACTTCATCTTTTTCCTGTCTTAACTCCACTATAACATTTTCTAATTGATTTTTCTCCGCAGATAAGCTGTTAATCTTTTCCTCTAGGCCTTGTTTTTCATTAGAAATTGCGGTAATCTTGTGTTCTATTTCATTTGCTTGACTGGATGATGATTGCACTAATTGAGCACTTTCAGCTTTAATTGTTTCTATCTCACTTACACTGATCTCTTTTTCTTCCCTCAGTTTATCCAGCTCCTCTACTAAAGACTGTGATTTCAAACTAAGTTCAGATTTTTCCTCTATTGATTCTTTTAGAGAATTTTCTACACTCTCATAATCTGTCTTAACCTTTTCCAGTTCTGCTTTTAAACTATCTATCTCTTGATCTTTCTCACTAAGCTGATTTTCAAATGCTTGTTTTTCATTCAGTAAACTTTCATTTACAACTTGTAACTCTGTCAACTTTTCATTTAGACTACTTATTGTTGTATCAACATCATTCAATTTAGATCTTGCCTCTAATAATTCCTTGTCACTTTTTTCACATTTTTCTTTAAAAGTTGCCAATTCTGTATCACCAGTTTCTTTCCCTTCAATTAATTGATCAACTTGCTTTTGAAGTGTAGATATTTCTTCTGTTAAAGTTTCTATTTGATTTTTCAATTTCTCAGCTTCTTTAGAACCATTTTCTAATGATATTTCCAACTCAGAAATTCTTGTATCTTTTACACTCACAACATTGTCTTTTTCATCGATTACATTACATTGAGCATCAACTTTCTTCCTTAACTCATCCTTTTCATTTGTTAACAAGTCAATAGTTTGCTTCATCTCTGTAATTTCATTTTCGTGAATCTTTGACAGAGATGCTTCTTCATTTTCAACCTGTCCTTTTATTGTCTCATACATCCTCTTTGCCTTTGACAAAGACTCTGACATATCTAAAATCTTTACTTCTAGTTCCTGAATATATGTATCCTTTTCTTTAACTACTTCCTGAATTTCGTTTTTCTCAATTTCTAATTGTTTCATAGTATCACAGGCATCACTCTTTTCATTTTCTAAACTTTGAATAGTTTCTTTCAGTTTCTCAACTTGTTCCATTTCAGTTCTAAGAGCTGCATTTTCTTCTGCAAGGTGTTCACTTTTATCTTGAGCAAGTTGAAGGATCATAGACATGGACTCTTTTTCCCTTTCCACTGAATCTTTATCTTCGTACACATCACTCAACTTTGATCTTAATGACTGAATTTCTATTGAACTTTCACCTTTAGATGAATATGCATCATCTAGCTCTTTTTCTAATCTACATTTTTCATCAATTAATTCCTGAACCTTTTCTTTCATGTGACTTATTTCATCATTAATTGATCCGTCTTTTTCATGATGTTTAAAAACTTCATCCTGCAAAGAGTCTCTTTCTTTCAAAGCTTCATTCAATGAAGTCATTAAGAAATCAATTTCTTTTCTAAAATTCTGCTCCCTCCTCTCTGATTCATCCAATTCATGTATTACATGATCTTTTTCTCGTTTTAAGATGTCCATTAAATTATCCCACTCATTCACCTTTTCTTGCATTGTTTGAATCTCTGTTCTAGATATTTCCTTCTCTTCCTTTAGCTCGTTTATTTCATAAACAAGATTTTCTCTTGTTTCTTCAGCATGGTGTAACTCTCCTTCCTTTCTTTCAATCTCATTCTCCAACTTTTCAATCATAGCTTGAAGTTTTCTTTCCTTTGATTCAAACTCCTTCACTTGATCTGATGATTCTAGAACTTTACATTTTTCTTGGGCAATTTTTAACTCATTTTCAAAATCTTTTTCTCTATTAGTTAATTCTTTTACTTGATTCTGAGTCTCTTGTAAGACAGATTGCAAGACAGCATTCTTTTCGGACTCATTTTGCAAGGAATCTTTTACTTTATTTGATTCTACTTCCATTTGATCAAATTCTGCTTGAACCCTTTTCAATTCCTCTGTGAGCTCAATCATCTGTTTCTCTAAATGAACTTGTGACTCAGTCTCTTTCTCTCTGAATTCATTTAATTCCTGTTCAAATTTCTCATTTTCTTCTTTTAATTCTCTCTGCTTTAAATTGCTCTCTTTTTCTACTTCAATTAATTTGGTTTTCAAATTCTTGTTTTCTTCATTTATTTTAGCAATGCTTTCTTTTTCTCTTGCTTCAACTTTACTCAACTCTTCATGTAGTTTTTCATTTTCTACTTTCAAACTTTCTAAATTCTTCACTATTTCTTCATAATTACCAGTTTCTTTGCTTGAATTATTAGTAGCTTCTTCTATTTTTGCATTCATCCTAGATTCTAGCTCACCTTTCTCTTGCTCAAGACATTTGTATTTTTCTACTTGCTCCTGAACTAGACCTTTGCTGGTCTCACACTCTACTCTGAACCTCTCAACTTCAGATTCTAAGGCTTCCATCTGAGAGTTCAAATTCTGAAACAAAGTTACTTTGATCAGGTTATATTAAAATTCACACATTGGATATAACAGAAACCAACTGGAATTAAGTTCTATAAGCACTGATACTCTTATATTCCAAACTGAATTTCTCTATCTAACACATAAGAAGTTTTCAAAATTTAAAACCAAATTTTAATGGGAAATGCCAGACAAACAATGTCCTTAACTATTCTTAGCCCTTGACAATAAAGTGATAGCAATGTGTGAATCTTTTATATTCACAAATGGGAATCAGGTAATAAACATTCATGATTTATGAATTATGGGCCTTAAACTGTGACCTACAAATATAACTGAAAACATTTTTGAAGTTTCAGATGAATACCTCTAGTTATTGAATTAATATGCATAGCATAAAATAAGTGTTTTCAAAATAAGTTTCAACCCCATTATTGATGAGGCATAAAGTCAGCTAAACCTTGACTAAAAGTTACATAAACTATTTAATGTAAATCAAAAATTAGAAAATGATAAAAAATACCTCGACTTTGTTTTCATACTCGTCTAACTCTTTAACTTTGTTTTGCTTATCCTTTTCCAGGGCTGTGATCATCTCTTGTAGGCCCTGATTTTTCTCATTGAGCATAATTAAAGTTTCTTCACTAGAAGAGGCAGATTCTGATTGAGCATGCTTTAATGTCTGTATTTTCTCCATAAGCTGGTCCCTGGCATCTGTGAGGATTTGTACTTGTTCCTTTAACTCCTGGTAAACAGTAAAATTTCATGTATTAAACCATGGTCAGAAACCCAAGGTTCACATTCCAAATAAATACTATATCTGATCATGGTAAATATCCTGGGTTACCATAGGTAGCATTAAATCTATTATTTCTTAATATGTCTTTCCCCTATGAACATCTAAACAGTTATTTTTTATGATATTATTTAAATGAATAGTACAATTTTCTTTAAATACAAATTTCAGTAAATATCTAAATAAACTATTGTATTACACAATACAGCTATGCAAATGGGATTATATAACATGGAAATTTCTTAGTACTGTATATACATTGAATATTATTCATTTAAAGTAAATTGGTCTACTAGTATTATGGAAGGTCTGGAATACAAGGAATAATTACATTGAAAGTTTTATGTATCAGACATAATGACAACCTACTAAAGAACTATATTATATGGAAGTTGTTTGCATGTATGATATACTGTGAAAATAATAATTAATCAATTTACATATATTTATTAAGCAGATAATAAAATGTTCAATAACAAAATATTATTATTCATCACAGAAGTTCATTCTAAGTTACTTAGAACTTGATCAATATTTTTGTCAAATAACTGTTATAAGATTATCCAAATAATACATTTCTATTGATTTAGTCAATATTTAAAACAAGAGCTGCCAGCAGGACAGCGTACTAGACTATTCTCAGTGCTTGATAGTAAAAAGAAAGGGCATAATATTGTAAAAAAGCTTGATACACAGGCTTTCTACTGCCTCTACCAAAAAAACTAGGGAAAAAGTAGGGCATTTTTTTACCAAAAAGTAGGGTAAAGTAGGGATTTCTGATGTTAAAAACTAGGGATAAAGTAGGAATTTCTTACCGTTTAAGTTAAGAATTAGCAAAACATACCATCACCAAGATCACATCAGGCTGTGTGTATCTTCAGTTCAGTCCATGCTTGAAAGACATGCACCTCATAGGCAGAATGTTGCTGAATGTTTTGCCAAGGCACCATGAGCAGAGCTGCATCAGTACTAAGGCTGTAGTACTTAAGTACCAGTTCCAGTACTTGCCAAGTTTTGCAGTACCATTTCCAGTACTAGTACTAGATTTTAGCTTGGTACTGCAGTACCAGTACTTTTTTGGGGGAAGTAATTAAGTACCAGTACTAATACTTTTATATATTCATCAAAGTTTGAATAAATACACAGTGTCATTCAAAATACTTGCAAACATTATTTAACAAAGAAATAAAATCATTTACTTTAAAGTTGACATTACATTTTTACAACTAAAATGAACAAACATACTTTTTACAAACAATAATCATCATATATTCATGTCATATGTTATTGTTTTGTAACCAGTCAACTGTAATACAATGCAATAATCTTACATTTTAAACCCACAAGTCTTTTTGTTGCCTTTTACACCTTCACACCTCTGTTCAATTTATACTAAAGTAAATAACTTTTTTATGGTGCTAACAATATCACTTGAAATATGATTATTTAGAATAGAAGTAATTTATTAGTGTTTATTTTGCTCTTTTTTACTAGTTAATACAAAGTAATAAGATTGCAATAAGGATATTTTACCAGTAAAGAGTTATTGACTCTGTTTATCTCAATTTAATTTTACTTTAAGTCTTTGGTGCTTTAAGATGAATACTATGTTAACATTTGAAGGAATATTGCAGCAAATTATTTATAGATTTGATAACTCACTTTTTCACAAAAATCAAATAATACGTGGAATTTACAGCTTTACTTTATGAGTAAAAATAATGACATTTTTATCAAAACCAAAAATACTGCCTAGTAATGCAGTAGCAGTACCGCTTTTTTAAGACAGTAATGCAGTACCAGTACCTGAGTAGTAGCAAAATTTTGTAAGAGTAATTCAGTATCAGTACCAGTACTTGCAAAATTGCTCCAGTATATACTGCAGTACTAGTACCAGTAATGCAGCTCTGACCATGAGTCTTTCAAGGGTGGACATCACAAGGAGACACTAACACACACCTGAACTATTAATCAATTGCAACTGAAAATACAACTGAAATACCATTTTAAATATCTTCTTTTTTTCATTTCATTTCAAAATGAAAAAGTAGGGATAATAGGGCTATTTCAGAAAAAAGTAGGGCAAAGTAGGGATCAAAAGAAAAAAGTAGGGAAAAGTAGGAAAAGTAGGAAAAGTAGGGACCAGTAGAAAGCCTGGATACAGTGACCTCCTCCTGTACACAGGTTGATTAATGATGGTGAACTAGTGTGCAAAGTTTCAAAACAATATGTCAATGGACTTTGAAAATAATGGAGGTGGTATGCAAACTTTAATGTAAATTCTAAGTGGATAAAGGGGCATAATTCTATTAAAATGCTTTATAGAGTTACCTCCTATTGTGTACAGGTTAAGGGCATGACGGTGAACAAATGTGCAAAGTTTCAAAGCCATATGTCCATGGACTTTAGAAATATTTGAGGTGGAACGCAAACTTTAACATAAGTGGTTACGCCGACTCTTGGGGGAAATAGGACAGCTCTCCTTATTATTCCAATAGTTGAGCTAAAAATTATGAAAAATGTGCTGATAGTTGACTTATCCACTTTAATATTTAACATTTCCAACAATTCCCAACATCTCAATGATAATGAATAAGGTACAAGTATCTCAAAATATGTTGTACTATAATTTCATACCAACAGTTTTGCCACAAATAAAAACTTATAATTCTATACTTTAATTGATCATTCTCATCTACTTTTATCCTGAAAATCAATCATGTATGAGTAGAATAGTAATAGAAATTAGGATCAACAAAGTTTAAATTTAGGTTCATTGGCACCAATACTTTTTAGTGATGAAGACTGATATACTACAAAAGAGAAAGATAAAGCATTTTCAGGGTCTCTCGTTAATTAACAGTTTCAATCGAACTAAGACTTAATACTTTCATCTAATATTCTGTTTTCAATGTCCTAGAGTGGTTTCCAAAATTGTATAATCTTTATTATTACACCAGATTAAAAACAAAATGAGGAGAGAAACAGAAAATAAAATAATACACCTGCACCACCAAAATATAAATCTTAATCCTTAACCTGCAGTATATATGTCATAGATTTGACCAGCATTTGGAACAGACCATTCAGATGTAATGGATTTTGTAAACAAAATAAACAAATAGAGCTTCACATAGTATAGCACCTGGTCTGACCACGTGTGCAGGCTGGCTGGACTTTATACTCCGGCAAATCCTAACCACTTTCAGTTCCAGCAGGTTAAGGGTTAAAAAAAAAAAAATATATATTTTAAAAGGAATCTTTTGACATATTACAAAAAGTTGACTGATGGTTCAGATATTACATGTCCCTCTTTATAAAAGGTCTATAAAATGCAAATTCAGCTTTGATAAGTTTTATTATTAAGAATTAAATCATTTTACGTTTCTAATATAATGTTGTTTTTTTTTAAAGAAATTTGTTTGCCTTCAAATTGGAAACAATAAAAACCTGACCCCATGATCATTGAAGGATTTATTACCTTTTCAATGAATCAATTTTTGTAATGAAACATAAACAAGACCGCTAGATTCATGGAAACATTTCAATTTTCAATAAAGCTATATATGCAATAGTTAATGAACATCAACCTTGACAAATTGATCAGTGGATACATTTAATTTTAAAGCCACAAAAACAATAATTTCATGTGGACAAATTGGCACATACTTAATTTGCTTTCACAAGATTGATCAGTTTTAGGCACATACTTTATTGGCTTTAGCAAGATTGTCAGTTTTTACCACATACTTTATTGGCTTTAGAAAAAATTGGTCAGTTTTAGGCACATACTGTTTTAGCTTAAGCAAGATTGGTCAGTTTTAGGCACATACTGTTTTAGCTTAAGCAAGATTGGTCAGTTTTAGGCACATACTGTTTTAGCTTTAGCAAGATTGGTCAGTTTTAGGCACATACTTTATTGGCTTAAGCAAGATAAGTCAGCTTTAGGCACATACTTATTGGCTTTAGCAAGATTAGTCAGTTATAAGCACATACTTTATTGGCTTTAGAAAGAGTGGTCAGTTTTAGGCACATACTGTTTTAGCTTAAGCAAGATTGGTCAGTTTTAGGCACATACTGTTTTAGCTTTAGCAAGATTGGTCAGTTTTAGGCACATACTTTATTGGCTTAAGCAAGATTAGTCAGTTTTAGGCACATACTTTATTGGCTTTAGCAAGATTAGTCAGTTATAAGCACATACTTTATTGGCTTTAGAAAAATTGGTCAGTTTTAGGCACATACTGTTTTAGCTTAAGCAAGATTGGTCAGTTTTAGGCACATACTTTATTGGCTTTAGCAAGATTGGTCAGTTTTTACCACATACTTTATTGGCTTTAGAAAAATTGGTCAGTTCTAGGCACATACTGTTTTAGCTTAAGCAAGATTGGTCAGTTTTAGGCACATACTGTTTTAGCTTAAGCAAGATTGGTCAGTTTTAGGCACATACTGTTTTAGCTTTAGCCAGATTGGTCAGTTCTAGGCACATACTTTATTGGCTTAAGCAAGATTAGTCAGTTTTAGGCACATACTTTATTGGCTTTAGCAAGATTAGTCAGTTATAAGCACATACTTTATTGGCTTTAGAAAGAGTGGTCAGTTTTAGGCACATACTGTTTTAGCATAAGCAAGTTTGGTCAGTTTTAGGCACATACTGTTTTAGCTTTAGCAAGATTGGTCAGTTTTAGGCACATACTGTTTTAGCATAAGCAAGGTTGGTCAGTTTTAGGCACATACTTTATTGGCTTTAGCAAGCTGGTCAGCCTCACTCTGGAACACCTGGAATGTGTTGGCCATTGTCTCATCCTTCATCTTCATACATTCTAACTGCTCATGTAACTCCTAACACATAAATACAATATATTTCATTACATTTCAAGTGTCACTGCCACACTGCTCTGACTAAAAGTTACGTCACATTTTGAACATCCTTGCTACTTAGTAAAGGCTACATAACATTCTGAGGGCCATTGCCATACTGCCTCTTATAAAAGTTACATTTGCCAGGATGTGCAGAATGGCCCAGCTATATACTGGTTACAAGGGCAACTCATTATTGCTACTATCACTATATGGTAAGGCAAATGTATTCCATCTGCCATTTAGGAGGTAGACTATAAAAGATCTCAATTTAAAACAAAACATTCTAGTCATATTTCAATAAACCATGTTCTAAAAATATAAGAAATTTACAAATAAAAAACAGGCTAAGAACATAAGAACACTATAAGCTTATCTATGGTAAATGTCTCTAAGTTTTATCCCATCATGCCATTCAGAGTTTTACCAAATTCAGAGGATGTTGAGTGGTTACAAACATACAAAAATTATAATTTCATTAAGTCTTTTTTTAAATAATTTTGCAAATAAATACATGTTTTATCAAATAATGATAATCATAAAACAAATTATCCAAATAAATCACCAAACATCAAGAACAGGTGTAATAAGTAAACTAAGTATATACAACATTTTAACTTATGTACATTGTGTATTTGTATGTAAAAATCTTAACATGTATCTCAATCTTTTTTTATATACCCCTCCATGATTGAAAACCAAAGGTTAAAATTCCCATAACCACTCAACAAGCCAATGAAATTTTATGGTTATAAAAACTACAGTTTGAGAATCAGTCTAAAATATCATGACATCTGATTGGCTTATATTTGAACACAACAGTTCAATCAACCAATTAAAATGCTGCATTTAAGACTGGCTTCAAACATCAGCTTCTGATAACATTATACTAATAACTCCTGCATCTACAAATGTAGCATATTTTCTTCCCTCATTTAAAACATAAATAGCCAATGAAAATTTTCTAATTTTATTATCCGTATACCTTATCCTTTTTTTCTGTAGCAGCAAGTTGACCCTCTATGTTCGCTTTCTGCTCTTTAAGTCCACTTATTTCAGTTTCCATATCCTGTAATAACAATCAGTATGCAACTTTAATTATCTTTACATTTCACTTATCAGTCGCACAAATTTCCCATATTAAGAAGTCTGTGACAAGAAAACAAGTAACAAAAAGATGAGGACCATCACAGCCTTATGGCTTATCAAAATAACTGGTAACTTGCCCTTTTTCAAGTGAGCTTGTTTTGACACTGGTACTAAAAAAATCTTATAGCTTGTAACTTTCAAGCGGAAGGTGCTTCTCTGTGCATTTTCATTTTATCAGCATGCAACTGAGTTGAACCATCAATTTTCCCTAAGTTAGATTATTTGTAAATAGACATTTTCAATGCATCAAATATAATGCTAAAACTTTACAGCCAAAGTTAAACAGTCTGGTTTGACTACACAGATTTTATCTATGACCTGTATATACATGTATACTGGTAGCAAGGCATTTTTGACATTATAATTAAGTCCTTTAATTCTAAAATCCCATGGAGCAGTTACTGTTAGTGCCCCCTCATGCTGTCTGACCAAGCTCTATGTTGTTGGTAGCTCAATTTATATATTTGATAATGAAATTTCTTAAACTTGGAAACATAATGTTCAAAATTATAGCTGGGCAAATCCATTAAAAAATTCAGGGTAAAATAGTTAAATTCTGTTTCAACAGAATATGTGTACCTCAGTAAGATTCCTTTGCCTCTCTAACTCAAGCTGCACAGCTTGATATTTCATCATAATTTCCTGTTTTTCTGCTGTAGCCTCAGACAACTTCTTCTCAATGTCAGTACCCTCTCCTCCATCAGCTTTCTTCTCCAACTCCACCATTTTCTTGGTTAAATCTGTCATAGAATAACATATATTTCATCTAGATCTAAACAGTGAATTCAAGTAAACATCCTGGTTTGATTACAAAGAAGTGGTTCATTGACATAAAATCATTGTGTTGAGATTTGAGGCTCATCAACAAAAGCGTCCTTTAAAACTTTGCTCTGGGATTTTTTTCAAGCTTTGGTGGATACCTGGACAGCTTTAGTATTGGTCATGAATAATCATTAATACATATATTAGTCAAAAATTATTCTCTATACAAATCAATAATAGATAACATCCTCTTTATTTACCTGTTATCAATGCATGTATATAACTTAGGGAAATAGTCCCATTATTACAGTAAAGTGCTTTTAAGACAATGATTTTTTTTGTTTGGTTGTGTTTTATGCAACACCTACACAGTAGAGGTCATATGGCAACTTACAAACTTTACTTGTGAAGGAAGACCTAAGATGTCCCTCGTACATTATTTCAGGTAGAACCACCAACATAATGCAAGTCAACAATTTCACTATCTATTTATACTCGAAAAATATATTTAAATCATACTTTAGCTACAATGCATACAACTTGTATCAAAATTATACAATGTTTAAACTTTCTTTTAGATTTTTCCCACAAAATAATTAGATTTTCGCAAACAGTAAAAGCACAAGAAACAAGAGCTGTCTGTAGGACAGCACGCTCGACTATTCTAAGTGCTTGATAGTAAAAGAGCCTTGATATTGTTAAATTTTTTAAGTTCACAAAAGGGCTAATTTTTTTTTTATAAATTCATGTTATTATAAGGTCTTAGAGAGAGTCTAATTATACAGAATTGGCTTGACTATTAGGAAGGTAATGTCACAAGGGTGTTTTATTGAGTATAATAATACTAATTACCTATGAATACATAAATTTGACAGAAAAGGTACAAAGGCTTGTTATTAAGATGTTTTATCAAGTAAATCACTACTTTATTATTATGAATGCATAAAATTGTCCCAAAAAAGGCACAAACCCTTCAGTAGTATTGAGATAACAGCTTACAAGCAAAACTTTACCATGAATTTCTAAGTTGAAAAAGGGGAGAAAAGTCAGCCTAAATGCAAGATAGAATTATGGATCTTTGTCAGTGACCTACAATTATGACCCTAAATGCATATGTGAAGTTTTAAATAAATATCTTTAATAGTTATTGAGATATGTAAAACTTGCATGTAAACATTAACCAAGAAACTTGAAGTAGAAAAGGGGATATGAATCAGCCTTAAAGTAATGCAAGATAGAGTTATGGAACTTGGTCAGTGACATACAATTATGACCCTCCAATTATGACCCTAAGTGCATGTGTAAAGTTTCAAGTAAATATCTTTGAAGACCGTTAACCTTTAACCAAAATTTCTAAGTTTCAAAGGGGCAAATAATTCTGCAAATATTGCAGACAGAGTTATGCAATTTTGCAAACTGATGTACATTGTTACTATAAATAAGTATTTTAAATTTCAATTGATTATCTCAAGCAATAATTGAGATATTTGACTTTACAAAAAAACTTTAACCAAAATTTCTAAGTTCCAAAGGGGCATAATTCTGTCAATATGGTAGGCAGAGTTATCCAACTTGTCAATCTGATGTACATTGTTACTATAAATAAGTATTGTAAGTTTCAATTGAATATCTCAAGCAATAATTGAGATATTTGACTTTACAAAAAACTTTAACCAAAATTTCTAAGTTAAAAAGGGGCATTATTCTGTCAATATTGTAGGCAGAGTTATCCAACTTGTCAATCTGATGTACCTTGTTACTATAAATAAGTATTGTAAGTTTCAATTGAATATCTCAAGCAATAATTGAGATATTTGACTTTACAAAAAACTTTAACCAAAATTTCTAAGTTAAAAAGGGGCATAATTCTGTCAATATTGTAGGCAGAGTTATCCAACTTGTCAATCTGATGTACCTTGTTACTATAAATAAGTATTGTAAGTTTCAATTGAATATCTCAAGTAATAATTGAGATATTTGACTTTACAAAAAACTTTAACCAACGCAGACGCCGACGCGGACGCCGACGCCGGGGCGACTACAATAGCTCTCATATTCTTCGAATAGTCGAGCTAAAAATCATACAGATTAAATTACCTTCATTTTTACCCTTAAGTTTCTGCATATTGACCATCTGTCTTTTCACAAACTTGAGCAGGTCTTCCCTTGCCAGGTTATCCAACTAAGTTCATAAAAGAAGGTCAAGCATGGATTATAATATACATGTATAACAGGGATTATAACAAATACATGTACTATGAAAGAAAGCAGGGATTTTTTTAGCTTATTTTTTAGCTGATATTCAGTCATATTCCTAATTGAAAATAGTATATTATTTTCCCAATCAACAGGAAAAAATTCCCAATTGAAAGTTACAAAATAAAAATATTGAATAAAAAAATATAAAATCTTTGAAAATAAGGGCTTCTCCACTGTTATAGTGCTTAAATGTTTGAAGATGCCATCCTAGACAGTGATCGTTTGAATTCATTTAATCACTGCAAAATTTCAATCATGCATTTTTTTCCCAATTTTAAACAAAGCATCACTGAAATTCCCAATTCCATGGGTACGGATCATGTTCCCACAATCCTGGAATAAAATCCTGACTCCGGGTAAAAAGCATGAATTTAGCACATTATTTATGGAAAACAGGTAAGTACAGGTCTATTAGAAATTAAAAATTCAACACTACAATTTACAGAAAGTATATACCTTTGATGCTGGACTACCCCCTTGGGAATGACCCTCTTCCCCTTTCTCCCCAGCATCCTGAAATATAAATAATCATATTTTACCGGTATTCAAATATAAATTTACTAACATTTATCTTTTCTATTCAAATATCAATAAATTAATTCATTTTAATTTTAATCAAATTTAATCATGATATATATCAATAAATTAACATATTTTATGGGGAAAAAAAAGAGTAACATATTAAAGTGCTTTCTGTAAATTTTAAAGAAAGAGTGAATTGTTGATAACTTGATAGTATATTTAGAAACTTAAACTCACACCCTAGTGATTATTTTTCATTACTGTGTGTTTGCTAAAGTATCCAGCAGAATTTTCTACAAGTGGAAAAATTAAAGCAATAATTTCAAAGTATAAGATATGCATAAAATTTTCAGTAGTTCCTATGATATACTCACTGCCATTTTTTCTGGCTTCCTTTAGTTCTCTCCGTCTTAACTAAACATACAAACTTTTTGTCTGTCTGAAAAAACAAAACAAAAACAAATTGGTTAAATTTATTAAAGCATAACAAATATAGGTCTTAATTTAGTCCAAAAAAAGCATTTCCATGCAGAAGTTTAACTTTTAATTAATCATTACCTAAACTTTAATACCACTAATTTTGATTCAAGCCTAATTACCGATATATATGTACTTCTTCTTTTGTCTCTTTTTATAGACATAATTTTCTATGGAATATTCATAATTGTGCAGGAATGGATTGCAAAATAATATAAAAATAACAAGCGCACAACTGTTCTAACCGCAACCAACAGATACTCGATCCAGTTAAAGGATGTGTATAACATTTAAGTCCATATTTACAAAATAAAGCGTTGTAACGGTTTAAAATAACAGTATCGTTAACATTGCAAAAACTTTACTTTAATGTTTTTTCTTTGTACAAGACATGTATTAATCATCTTGTTCCATATAAATGCACAAACCTATGGTAAAAGTTTATCTTTTGATTACATTTTATTTAAAAAAACACTTAAACTTCATGTGGGATAGTAGCTTTAGTTCAATTTTTCTAACAATAAGAAAACAGTTTGATTACTTTAGGTTGCTGAGTGTTGGAATTATGTTTTACATTCTGAAAAAAGACGCTATTTCAGATAGGGTATTAGGCCTTATTTCATTTTATATTCACCAATTTCAACATCGTTACATTACCATTACAATGTAGATGTGCCTTCTGGAGTAGTTTAAGTAACTTAGTTAAGTGACAAAATTCTGCTTTTTTCAAAATATGCAAAATTCCCTAACATAACAAAATTAACATCCTGATAAATTTAACAGCTGTTAAGTAATCAGGGCCCTGAACAACTAGCAGAGGAACTTGGACCTAATTAAACAATTTAAAGGTTACACAAGTTGCAGTTTTGTTTTGACAAGCACATCGAATTTTCTTCCTCTGACCAACGGTGTTCTATTTTACCTTTCTGTATGATACAATAATACAAAAAATAGCGAACATATAAATGAATATCCATGCAAACGGCCCCAATGTTATTTGTAAACAGAAAGCCTAAACGGGCCCGTACGGCTAGCCAAAAGTTCTAGCCTAGCCTGGACACACTGTTATGGCTAGCCGTACGGCACTTTTCAAAATTATATGGAAGTCGAAAATGCATTTGTTATTTTGTGTCTTTAAACAACGATTTTAATCAAATCTCCGCATTTGTCCTAGTGTGTTCACTTTAATAAAGATGCTCCGCAATTTTGCACAAAAAAATGAATACGAGTAAGCGTTATATAATCTATCTTAATAAATTTGAGTGTCAAAGTTGCATGTTAATTATAACGTCCTTAATTTTCATGCTTACGATTTGTATGAAAGATGAATTGTTAAATCTGTAAATTAAGCACATGGATCGAATAAATAATGATCGGAGGGGAATAAATAAATAAATAAATAAAAAGAATATTAAAAAAAAACGGTGAAAAGGAAAAAAAATTTAATAATGCAAATTTTTCTTAATGATGGAAGATGGACAAACTTCTTTACCGTCGGTAATTGACGCAATTAGAGCCCAACAACAATTATTTTCTGTGTTTTTTTTGTTGTTGTTTATTTTTTCAGTTTATTTATTTTTCAGGATTATTATCAAATTTTGTAACCTATTTCAATTGATGTTATTTAACTGCAACCAAAAGCTATTTTTTCTCGCCGTCTTGAGATGACAAAGTAAATTCTTTACTGTAGCCAACACGTCGATTAATCTATAAAAAGTAAACATTCTTGACTAAAACCCTCGCTTAAAGTCATAATTAACACGACCCTAATTAACATATGCACTTTCGCCTTCCATATATTTTTGAAAAGTGCCGTTCGGCTAGCCAATACAGTGTGTCCTGGCTAGTCGTACGTGACTCACGTACGGCTAGAACTTTTGGCTAGCCGTACGGGCCCGTACGGCTAGCCACTTCCAAACATGAAAACAAATCTGTCAAAATTAAACATCCTAATTTCCACCATCTTTAACAATGATCATGGAAAATCTTTGTGTATCCATACAGAGTTATGTAAATTAAAATGTTTTAACCTAAATAGTACCTCTGTTACACGCACAGATACCTTAACAAGAAGAATTTTCAAAGAAATAGACGTGTCCGTTGATGTGACATTTTGTTTTTTAAGAGTTGCTTCCCTTGAATATTTTGGTGTCAGTTAAGTCCGAATACATAAGCTATCGTTGTAGACGACAACGGGGATTCTGATAATTTTGATGATGAAACTACCTTTTTTATATGTTTCAAATTCCAATGTGGGCAAATCCATTCTGCAAATTTTAGCAGAGTGTAATAGTGGCAGTTTTAAATGAGATTCGTTCGGACATATAGCGATCACAATTTGGCCGTAATAAGGAACATATGTACTCTGTGGGTTTGTTGTTGGGATACAAGTAACAACTAAGTAAATTTAAATAAACAACAATCTTTTAATCAAGTCCCAATTGTTTATATAATATCATATAATGAAAGTTTATTAAATAAGTTTAAAGTAAATTTAAATCTTATTTATGATTAGTACAGCTTTATGAATAAATTGATAGATACAGTCGATTTAAATTAACACTTGAAAGTGTTTACTCTAAGACCGAAGTCTTTATTTAAAGTCAAGGCTTGAGCCTTGTTGTACTGACCTAGACGGTACAGCACCGAACTAACTATCAATGGCAAGTTTCGGCTATTTATTTGCTTCCAGACAATAAACAAACAATTGATTGGTTATTCATAAAGATAATCTAAAAATCGATTCGTTTATTATAATGATAAGAGCCAATCAAATCACTTCTTATATAATGCACTTGGCAGGGCAATCAAAATGGATGCCTCCATGAAATAAAGCGTTGTGGAAAGTAAACAAATTATATTTTTTTGAAAGTTAATGAAAAATCGATCTGTTACATTCCTTCCTCCTAAAAAGATAAGAATTTTGAAGTAACAAAAACAAAATGTTAATCAAATGTTTTTTTGTTTTTTTTTTAAATATGTATACTATAGATTTTCAGAGGCTTTCTTAATTTAAACAAATGTATTGAAAAATTTAAGCTTAGTAGTTAATATGCAATATCTAAATATTATGCCTCCAGGTTTGTGCTAATCTTCATGAAAATTTGCCGAAAGGAAGCAACTTACAAATTATCAACGGTACCACAATAAATTATTAAAAGGTGGCCTAAGCATGAATAAAAACCTTACTGCATTAATAACGAAGTAGAAAAATAATTGTTAACACTGAAAACAAATCAGTCATTAATAGCACACAATATGTAAAATATATTCAAATCTCAAAGCTTTTGATCATCTTAATACATTCTCTTAAGTTTTAATTTTATTGAAATATTTTGACTTATTTGGAGACATGTCGCTTTAATATGTAAATATTACCTTTAGAAAATGACTCTAATCAGCAATGAAAAGAAAAATTATGTATTCAAAATTGCTTGGCTCAATCAAATAAAAAGAAAATTATTTATTTATTTATTTCTTTAACAGCAACAACATAACAGTGGGCATGATAGTTTACACTAGATCTCAAGATCTGTATCATCCCAATCAAGGTCGACTGCTCTATCAAAATAAAGCTCCACCACTTCGTTGAAGGCTTTCCTCCTTCTTTCCTCCCTGTCTAAACGAATTCTTTCTTTTCTTTCTTCCTCCCTTGCTAATCTCTCCTGCTCCTGCTCTCTAAGCCGTTCATCATGACTTTTCCGCCGTGGCTTCCCTTTGCCCATAGATGGTTTATAATACGAATTCACCACCTTCACTTCCTCTGACTGGTGAAGGCTCCGGCTTGAAACGTGTGCCTTCGGGCGTCATATCTTCGTTTCGTGATATGTCCGCAGTAAATGCACTTAAAGAAGTTCCGGTATGGCTCATGGGTTGCCACCCAATGCTTGTTGAATTCTGCGTACGTATAATAGAAACCAACGCACCCAGGTACAGGACAAGTGTCCCCTTCGTCATGCCAAACAGGTCTCTCTGTGTCGGGTAACCGAAGTTGAGCTTGCGCCATAATGCTGCAACAACCAAAAATATTTCATACTGTGAAATTTTTTTTTTTTTTTTTTTTAATTAAAAATAAATTCACGTTTCCTTCATTTATTTCCTTATCATTATACATTATTATGATTATAAAATATTTATACACAGTATGGGCAGTTCCCCTTTTAAATTACAAGAAACAACATTTATCAATTTCAAAGATTACTATTCATTATATTATGTACTAATATATATATTCACATTGAAAACATACTAATAAATTTTATGCATTGTACTAATGCATATTTATGCATATTATCAACTTTAACAAAAAATAATATAACTATTTGTTGTAATATTGATTTAAAGCTCAGTTTCAATAAGTATTATAACTACATAATAAAAGAAAGACAACTCTTTTGAACTTATATTAAAATATGTACACATTTGTTATCTCCCTTTGAACATTTTTATAAATATTTAATAATATGCAAAATATTTAAATTTGAAATATGTTACATAAAATTAATGTTTTTACAAACATGATTAACAGAATATGTTAAACCTTATATAGGTTTATCAATGTAATAAACACATACTACAACACATGATTTATTAATTGATTGATTGATTTATTTTTGGAATTAAGGTGAATATATTTCTCGTGGTTTGATTTTTCTTTCTCTCCTAGACCGAGGAGCAAAAGGAACATTTTTAGGTGTACTAGAATTTAATTGCGTTTGAAGTGAGTCTGAACTGATATTGCTAGATTCTTCAAGATCAATTTTGTTTTGTTCTTCATGAGAATTGATTTGTTTTGTCCAATCAACAGGAGTTTCTTTCCCTTCAAAGGGTTTTAAATGATCTACATGCACTATGATTGATCTACTGTCTTCAGATTTTTGTATTTTATATGTCAAGTTTGTTATCTTAGCCAGTACTAAATATGGACCTGTCCAGCCTTGACCTAATTTCTGGTTTGCAGTAGGAGGATACCATCTCCAGACCCAGTTGCCTTCAGAAAATTGTCTGGGTTTTAAACCACGGTCATAATAACGTTTCTGACGGCTTGCAGAAATTCCTAAGTTATTATATGCAAACGAATAAGATTGTCTTAGAGCATGTTTGACCCATTCTACATATTCAATTGGGCATTCTGTTTCAGATTGACCTGGAGGAGGACCCACCATAAGATCTATAGGGCTATCAACTTCCCGACCAAGCATCAAAAGATTTGGGCTACAACCAGTACTGCTTTGCTGAGTTGATCTGTAAGCTGCCATCACATATGGTAAATGGTCATCCCAGTCAGATTGTTCCTTAGAAACAAAAGATTTCAACATTTGAATCACACTTTTATTAGCGCGCTCTACAAGTCCATCTGATTTTGGATTGTACGGACAAGTTCGAGTCTTATCAATACCCAAAAGACTACAAATATGAGAGAAGAGATGTGACTCAAATTCTCTCCCTTGATCAGTATGAATTTGACTTGGAAAACCAAATTGTAAAAATACTTGTGTTACCAATATATCAGCAACTGTATAAGCAGTGTGAATCGGGACTGCAAATGCCATTATCTATTTTGTGAAATAACAGCAACAAACTATAATGTACGCATTATTCTGTTTTGTGAGGCGGAGATGACCCATGATATCTACTGCGATAATTTCCATAGGACGGAAAGCTCTGAACTGTTTAATCTCAGACTTCCCTTTTCCAGGACCAGGTTTGCACCTGGCACAAGCCTCACATTGCTTTATCCAAAGTGCAACATCATGTGACATGCCGGGCCAATAAAATCTACGCTTCATTGATTCTATAGTGCGATCTCTACCTAAGTGACCCGAATATCTTTGACTATGTAACTGGTTAAATATAAACAGCCTAATAGTTTCTGGTACTACTAACCGTAAAACAGTATTTTCACTAGTTTCATATGGTTTACAGTATAAAAGACCATCTTGAACTTCAAGAATTTCCCATTTTTGCCAAAGCTTAATTACTTCACTATGTAAATATAACAACTCTGATTTTTCAGGTTTAATGGAAAAATTTTGCTTAAGTCTTAACATTTCAGAAATTGCAGCATCCTTAAATTGCATTTCTTTGAGGTCTTGTTTAGACCAATGATTTAACCAGTTTGGCTCAAAATTGTGATTATTGACAGTTTCTTGTCTTACAGGGTTAATACATGAATGTTTTTCAGTTAACATACAATCTGTCATTGAATTTATATTTGTTGTAATGCAATGAGATTTACAAGATGATACATTTTCAGTAATAGGTGTTTGTTTTGTTTTAGTACTTGATAGATTTGGTTTTAGCCTATAAGAATTTTCACACTCTCTGCAATTTAGAATTTTGCATGGTCTTTTAATGCGACGTGTCAAGCTGTCAGCATTTAAATGTTTTGAACCTTCTCGGTAAATAATTTCATACTCATAAGCACCCAGAATGTTTATCCAGCGAGCTAATATTCCCTCTGGTTCCTTAAATTTGTGTAAATAAGTCAAACTTTTGTGGTCAGAACGTATAATGAATTTTCTTCCCAGTAAATAGTGCTTATAATGCTGAACAAAATGCACTATTGCAAACAATTCTCTTTTAGTGGTACAATAATTTTGCTGAGCAGGATTTAGTACTTTACTACCATAGGCTAACACCTTTTCTATCCCATTTTGTTCCTGAGAAATTATTCCAGAAATTGAGTCAGCACTAGCGTCTGTATCTAGAATGAAAATACCAGCATTTTCATCTGGAAATCCTAATACAGGGGAATTTATTAAGCAATGCTTAAGGTTTTCAAAAGCCCTATTTTCTTCATCACCCCATTTAAATTTTGCTTTTTTCCGGGTGAGTCTTGTCAGGGGTAAGGATATCTCCGCAAAGTTCTTAATCATTTTACGGTAATATCCGCAAATTCCTAACCATGACAGTAATTCATGGATATTAGTTGGCGCTGGCCATGATTTAATTGCCTCAATTTTGGAAGGATCACATGTGATTCCCTCTTTTGAAATTTGGTGACCTAAGTAAACTACATGAGTTTGAAACAATTTGCACTTTGAAGGTTTTAATTTGAGATTGGCTTGACTTAGTCTTGACAAAACTAAACTAAGATTTTCAAGTGATTCATTGAAATTCTTCCCTATAATGCAGACATCATCAACATAAATCAGGCATTTCTCAAAGACTAGCCCATGAAGAACTGCCTCCATGAGTCTTTGAAAAGAAGCAGGTGCGTTTTTCAAACCAAATGGCATTACCCGAAAACAATATTGGCCTTTTCCAGGAATTCTAAAGCTTGTTTTTTGTGCATCAAACTCATTTAGTCGTAATTGCCAATAACCACTGGCTAGGTCTAATAAGTGAAAATAATGACTTTTTGCTAAATGATCTAAAGTTTCATCAATTCTAGGAAGTGGATATGAATCAAAAATTGTCACTGAGTTTAGATTTCTAAGGTCCACACAAAATCTTATTGTATTATCTTTCTTTTTCACCAGGCAAATACCTGAAACCCATGGTGAATGACATGGTTCAATGACCTTGCTTTCTAGCATTTTGTCAATTTCCTTATTTACTATATCTTGTAAATGAATTGGCACTCTGCGAGCTTTACACTGTATTGGTTTTGCATTGCCAGTATTGATGAAATGTTCAGCCATATTTGTTTGACCTAATTTTCCATCAGGACCAACAAATACATCAGAAAATGTCATCAGTAAATTTTTTACCTTGAGTTTTTCTTCTTTATTTAAATTTGAAGAACAAGACTCTAATACAGTTTTTAAATGTTCTGGAAATTCCTTAGTTTTTTCAGTTTGTAAACAATTCACAGAACAAGAATTTTGATTTGAATAAATTTCAGATATTTGAGAGAGTGAACCTAAAACTGAGTCAATTTTTAACACAGTGGAACAATTGTTCACATTCATTACAGATAGAGTAACCTCACTTTTGTTCATATCAATTATAGAACATGCAATGAATAATCCCTGATCTACATATTTGTAACTAGGCTCTAACATGTTAAACCTATTGGAACTATTTCCATTTATATAGGCAGGAATGAACATTTCTGAACAGGCAGGTATAGTAACATTCTGTAATGCATAGATTCTTGCACAAAAGATTGAGTGATGTTTGTACAGCTTGACTTTCCCTAAACTTGTTTTGAAAATACGTTTGGGAATTTTTAAGCTTACATTATATTCTTCAAAAAAATCAGTGCCCAAAATACCTATGGTTTCCTCAATTTCAGCCACTATGAACTCAAATGAAAAATCAATGTGCTCAATTTCAAATTTCAACATGCATTTTCCCTTGATTTCAAGTCTTAAGCCATTTGCTGTAGATAATGGTACAGAGACCGGGTCTAATTTTGGTTTATTTAACAGTCTATTGTAACACTTATAAGACAAAATAGACACAGGACTTCCCGAATCTACGAGCACACCTCCTTTAACATGACCTATAGATGATTTTACATAGTAACAAGATGATTTGTCATTTTTCAACATGTTTGAATCAATGTCACAATTTGCTAGACCTATCATTTGTTTATCAGTGCATGTAATATGTGAGCCTTTATTTTCAGCCAAATTTGTCAAAGTACTTGATGAATTTAAATTGACATCATGAATAGAAACATTTTCAGAATCATGTGATTCTTCATGTATTTTTGAACAATTCGCATTACCGCGAACATGCACGTGCTGTTTGTTTACATTTGCTTGTCCTACATGTTGACCTGAGGTCACAGCCTCGTTTTGAGTTTGTGCTACATATTGACCTTTATTAGCGGCAACTAAAGTACAGTCATCATCATCTGGGGAAGTAATGATAATTTCGGGGATTTGTTGTTTGATATCAAGAGCAGGTGTTATTTTACAAGGAATATTGGTAGTTTCCTGAGAACATGTTTGCATACATGTAGTAAGAATTTTTGGCCTTAATGCAGACGTTAAGACTGATGTGTCGGCCTCAACACCAGTCTGAGCTAGTTTTCCTGACTTTTTTGTTTGTTGTCATTACGTTTTTTGTAACAACGACTTTCAGTGTGCCCATTCTTTTTACAGTATGTGCAAAACATTTCTTCCTTAGTCTTAAAGAAACATTGTTCTTCAGTATGTCCTAATTTGTTACAATATGAGCAATAGACTCGAATCTCATCATGACCTTGTTGATTCGAAGACATATTTATTGACCTATTTTGAGGTCTGTCTTGACGATTATTAGTCAGACCAGTAGAAACATTGTTTTGTGTAGAAGAGTATGGTGTATTGTAGGGCCTTGTATAACGAGACGGGCTATTTGACCGCTGAAAACGTGATGGACTATTTTCACGTGATAAAGCTTGTTTCTTGAAAGTATTATTCACATTTTTATTTTGGAACGAAGCTAGCTTTTCTGTTAACTTTTGTTCTAGTTTTTGATCCAATAAAGACGATAACATTTGTTGTAAGTCTTCTAAAGAACAATCAGTTTTCATGTTCAACGGCCTAAGGGAGGAAACTAATTGATCAGTGGGTGAATGAGTTGCTCCCCTTGAATATTCCTCATCTATGGGTTTTACGATTTTATCTAAAGACCCTTGTAAAGCACAATATTCCACTGCAGAACTAATGGCCATGTCTAATGACATTGGATGTTGAAATTGTACATGTTTTTGAAGTTCAAAATTTCCTAAACCATGAATATATTGGTCTATTATGCACGACTCAAGGGCCGAACTTGGCATTAAAGGAAATGCTTTTTGACCTAAACGTCTAAGAGAGTAACCATAGTCAGAGACAGACTCTCCTGTGTGTCTTTTCCTATTGCGAAATTCGCACCTATATGCTAACTCTCGCTCTTGAGGGCTGAAACGTTGCGTTAAAGCACGTTTAATTTCTGAATAGTTATTTAATTGAGTGGGACTTAATGATGAAAGTAGACGTTGTGCCTCCCCTCTCAAATTAATTGACAACATACATGCTTTCTCATGATCACTCCATTTATTCCATGCAGCGACTTGTTCAAAATGTATTATATAGTCAGTCCACTCCGTAGAGGAGCCATCAAACCTATCTGGCTCGATGTTTCGAGTCGTGTTTGAATATGGACTCGCCATATCTGCCTGAGCATTAAAATTTGGCATGTGGTTTGCTGTAGGCATGCTATTTGAAGATATGTATGGTGTACTATAAGCAACATTATTTTGCGGTAAACTAACTTGAACAAATGCACGGGTTGGCTGACCTAAATTTTTGTCGTGCATTCGGGGTAATGTATGCGTTAAAGGAGCTTGACATGTATCTATTGTAACTGGGGTAGTCAATCTGTTGATGTTTGACGCTGTAGTAATAGGAACTGAATGTTTTAAGTCATAATATTGTCTTATTGTAACCTTAGGCTTAGGAGTATAATAAGATTTATTTGGTGACGTGTACATTTCTACACGTGAGGGTAACATTCCTGAGCTTTCATGTTGCCTGGTATTTAAAATAGGCTGAACAAAGCTGCTACTGGGACGTAATAACCCTTCATTAGGCAATAATGGTGTTTCTTCAAGTGTACATATTGACATGTCAGAACCATATCTATTCTGCATTATTTTCTCTGGAGTATTTAATTGACCATCTCCATTTAATTTATTTTTTCTAAATGGCGAAAAATAATAATTACATTCATCATAAGCAGGTGAAGTTTCAAAATTTCCACTATACCTTTTTGAGATCGATGTGTAACCTTGCTCTGTATAAGAAGGAACAGACCTAACATGTGTAGTTTGTGTTTGAAAGTTAAATGTTGAATTTTTCGTGGGAGGTGTATTACTATGTACAGTTTGACCGTTAAACCCGGTAGTATCTAATACATGTAACTGACCGTTACCTTCGGTAGTGTAAATCGAATAACCCTCTGCCATTATAACTACACAGTTTTACCTAAACTGTATCATGTACAATTTTATATTTTACACGTATTTAAACCTAACTGGTTTATTTCAATACAATTTTGAGATTTTATTTTAGGTAAATAACTTATAAATGGTTTTAATAATAATGCTTTTTAGATAATTTATATATTTTTATATTTGTTTTAAATTTTAATCCTAATTATTTATTTTATTTTATACAGCCTATTTTCAATCCTCAACACCCAAACAACCACAGAATACGCTTCCTCTTTTCTAACAAAATATATAAATAAATGTCCGAATATTCAATACAGAAATATTTTCTTTTTCTATGATATAAATCAGTTCTTTTAGGAACTGTAACTCTATTTGATAACGCT